CCGACCTTCAGTAGATAAAGGATACCAAACGATGAAACAATTTCTTATCGAAATTTAGTGGACAAAGGATACTAAATGATGAAACAACTTCTTATCAACCTTCAGCAGACAAAGGATACCAAATGATGAAAAAATGTCTTATCGACCTTCAGTAGACAAATGATGCCAAATGATGAAACAATTTTTTATCGACCTTAAGAAGACAAAAGATACCAAATGATGAAACAATTCCTTATCGACCTTCAGTAGACAAAGGATACCAAATGATGAAACAATTTTTGATCGACCTTAAGAAGACAAAAGATACCAAACGATGAAAAAATTTCTTATCGACCTTCAGTAGACAAAGGATGCAAAATGATGAAACAATTTTTTATCGACCTTAAGAAGACAAGATACCAAATGATGAAACAATTCCTTATCGACCTTCAGTAGATAAAGGATACCAAATGATGAAACAATTTTTTATCGACCTTAAGAAGACAAAAGATACCAAATGATGAAACAATTCCTTATCGACCTTCAGTAGACAAAGGATACCAAATGATGAAACAATTTTTGATCGACCTTAAGAAGACAAAAGATACCAAATGATGAAACAATTTTTATCGACCTTAAGAAGACAAAGGATACCAAATGATGAAAAAATTTCTTATCGACCTTCAGTAGACAAAGGATGCCAAATGATGAAACAATTCCTTATCGACCTTCAGTAGACAAAGGATACCAAATGATGAAACAATTTTTTATCGACCTTAAGAAGACAAAAGATACCAAATGATGAAACAATTCCTTATCGACCTTCAGTAGACAAAGGATACCAAATGATGAAACAATTTTTTATCGACCTTAAGATGACAAAAGATACCAAACGATGAAAAAATTTCTTATCGACCTTCAGTAGACAAAGGATGCAAAATGATGAAACAATTTTTTATCGACCTTAAGAAGACAAAGGATACCAAATGTTAAAAACAATTCTTTACCGACCTTCAGTAGATAAAGGATACCAAACGATGAAACAATTTCTTATCGAAATTTAGTGGACAAAGGATACTAAATGATGAAACAACTTCTTATCAACCTTCAGCAGACAAAGGATACCAAATGATGAAAAAATGTCTTATCGACCTTCAGTAGACAAAGGATGCCAAATGATGAAACAATTTTTTATCGACCTTAAGAAGACAAAAGATACCAAATGATGAAACAATTCCTTATCGACCTTCAGTAGACAAAGGATACCAAATGATGAAACAATTTTTGATCGACCTTAAGAAGACAAAAGATACCAAACGATGAAAAAATTTCTTATCGACCTTCAGTAGACAAAGGATGCAAAATGATGAAACAATTTTTTATCGACCTTAAGAAGACAAGATACCAAATGATGAAACAATTCCTTATCGACCTTCAGTAGACAAAGGATACCAAATGATGAAACAATTTTTGATCGACCTTAAGAAGACAAAAGATACCAAATGATGAAACAATTCCTTATCGACCTTCAGTAGACAAAGGATACCAAATGATGAAACAATTTATGATCGACCTTAAGAAGACAAAAGATACCAAATGATGAAACAATTTTTATCGACCGTAAGAAGACAAAGGATACCAAATGATGAAAAAATTTCTTATCGACCTTCAGTAGACAAAGGATGCCAAATGATGAAACAATTCCTTATCGACCTTCAGTAGACAAAGGATACCAAATGATGAAACAATTTTTTATCGACCTTAAGAAGACAAAAGATACCAAATGATGAAACAATTCCTTATCGACCTTCAGTAGACAAAGCATACCAAATGATGAAACAATTTTTGATCGACCTTACGAAGACAAAAGATACCAAATGATGAAACAATTTTTATCGACCTTAAGAAGACAAAGGATACCAAATGATGAAAAAATTTCTTATCGACCTTCAGTAGACAAAAGATGCCAAATGATGAAACAATTCCTTATCGACCTTCAGTAGACAAAGGATACCAAATGATGAAACAATTTTTTATCGACCTTAAGAAGACAAAAGATACCAAATGATGAAACAATTCCTTATCGACCTTCAGTAGACAAAGGATACCAAATGATGAAACAATTTTTTATCGACCTTAAGAAGACAAAAGATACCAAACGATGAAAAAATTTCTTATCGACCTTCAGTAGACAAAGGATGCAAAATGATGAAACAATTTTTTATCGACCTTAAGAAGACAAGATACCAAATGATGAAACAATTCCTTATCGACCTTCAGTAGACAAAGGATACCAAATGATGAAACAATTTTTTATCGACCTTAAGAAGACAAAGGATACCAAATGTTAAAAACAATTCTTTACCGACCTTCAGTAGATAAAGGATACCAAACGATGAAACAATTTCTTATCGACCTTCCATATAGACAAAGGATACCAAATGATAAAAACATCCCTTATGGACCTCTAGTATAGATTAATTGTTGATTGCTTTATCTTCAGTTCTTCAGAACATACCTATGATAACAACAGTTTTCATAGACCCTCAGTATAGACAGAAAATGCCAAGTGATGATGATATCTCAATTAGATTTTCAGTAGATAAAGGATACCAAATGATGAAACAATTCTTTATAGACTCTAGACAAAAGATATCAATTTATGAACCAATTCCTTATCGACTTTCAGTAGACAAAGAATACCAAATGATGAAACAATGTCTCATCGACCTTAATAAGACAAAGGATACCAAATGTTAAAAACAATTCTTTACCGACCTTCAGTAGATAAAGGATACCAAACGATGAAACAATTTCTTATCGAAATTTAGTGGACAAAGGATACTAAATGATGAAACAACTTCTTATCAACCTTCAGCAGACAAAGGATACCAAATGATGAAAAAATGTCTTATCGACCTTCAGTAGACAAAGGATGCCAAATGATGAAACAATTTTTTATCGACCTTAAGAAGACAAAAGATACCAAATGATGAAACAATTCCTTATCGACCTTCAGTAGACAAAGGATACCAAATGATGAAACAATTTTTGATCGACCTTAAGAAGACAAAAGATACCAAACGATGAAAAAATTTCTCATCGACCTTCAGTAGACAAAGGATGCAAAATGATGAAACAATTTTTTATCGACCTTAAGAAGACAAGATACCAAATGATGAAACAATTCCTTATCGACCTTCAGTAGACAAAGGATACCAAATGATGAAACAATTTTTTATCGACCTTAAGAAGACAAAAGATACCAAATGATGAAACAATTCCTTATCGACCTTCAGTAGACAAAGGATACCAAATGATGAAACAATTTTTGATCTACCTTAAGAAGACAAAAGATACCAAATGATGAAACAATTTTTATCGACCTTAAGAAGACAAAGGATACCAAATGATGAAAAAATTTCTTATCGACCTTCAGTAGACAAAGGATGCCAAATGATGAAACAATTCCTTATCGACCTTCAGTAGACAAAGGATACCAAATGATGAAACAATTTTTTATCGACCTTAAGAAGACAAAAGATACCAAATGATGAAACAATTCCTTATCGACCTTCAGTAGACAAAGGATACCAAATGATGAAACAATTTTTTATCGACCTTAAGAAGAGAAAGAAACCAAACGATGAAACAATTCCTTATCGACCTTCAGTAGACAAAGAATACCAGATGATGAAACAATTTTTTATCAATAGATTGATTGCTTTACATTCAGTTCTTAAGTACATACCTATGATAATAGTTTTCATAGACCACTAGTATAGACAAAAGATGCCAAGTGATGATGAGAGCTCTCATGGACTTTCAGTACACATAAAAGATGCCGATTCATGGTAAAAGCAGTAATTGGACTTGAATGCAGAAAAAGAAACCAAATAAAATCAACAACATGGATGTTAGAAAACTGATGTATATTGGTGGTGTATAACAGCTCAAACAAAGCTCAAAGCAGATACCAAATGCTTATATTGATGATAACACAGACCTTGGTACTGACTATGAGCATTTAGTGGACAATGTTTATAATTCTGTAATAAACCTCAGTAAAATGATTCAATGAAATCCATTGGCTGGTGTTGGAGTAGTTTATACAGAAGGAATTATACCAACATTATGTTCATGAAATATTCATATGAAGAAAAAAGATGTATAAATTATCAATTATGGGTGCAGTTTAAAAAAGAAATTAAAATTGGAAAATTAATTTGAAAAAATTACAATTTTTGAGAGCTGGGCAACCCCTCTTAATCTTGCCCACACAAGACCGACATCTTAGACGTCTATAATGATCTAAACTTACTGGAATATAACTAATAAATGTGTTCGTATTAAATATATGGTTTTGTTACAAGTACTTATAGCTGCCGGTCCAACATCAGAAAAACTTAAGAACAATTTTTTTCACTTGATTGGCCTTCAATTACTTGTCATAAGCAGAACTGTGTTTGTCCAAGCTAAACATATGGGCAACCATGTGTCACTGAGGCCCAGAATATATGCAGTTTAGTCCTGGTGGTCAAGGGATAGGACAAACATTGTCAAAACTTTTTTTTCATGAGACGGCTGACTTATGTGGATTTAAAATTCTGCTGGGCTTAATTTAGCAGGCTGTCCAAATAAGTAAATGAACTATGGTTCTGTGTTTCGAGTTGGACCTAAGAGTAAAGAATATAATCTAAACTTTCCAATTAAATAATGAAGAAACGACTACACCTAATATGGACTTCTTGAGCAGACAGAATATACCAAGTAATGGAATAGCTCCTTGAATATTTTTCACAGAATACTTTTTTGTTTCAGACGGAATATGATGGAAAACATTTCAGATGTGGATCCAGGATTTGGTTAAAAGTCTATGCATTAACCATATATGCAGCTCGATAAGGGGGACTGGCTCTGCATCTCACACCGATCATTAGTACAAGTTAGCTAAAATCTAGCCTTAAAAGTTAATAGAAATGGTAAGCTTAGTTTTACTTTTATATATTCAATTGCAATGATTAAAAAAAATATATTTATTTGTAAAAAATCACAGGAATGTTATTGATTTGCCAACAATACAACAATTCATTAATCAACAGTCTATATTGCACATGTCCACTTAAGATCACATGATCCTGTAATCTATTCCCAATCTTCCTCATCCTCCTCCTCCTCATCATCCTCCTGGTCACTTTCACTATTACTATCCTCTGATGGAGCACCTCCAGCAGGTGCAGGAGCATCTGGTGTGCTGAAATAATAAATGTAAATATAGGACAAGTTTAGTTTGTTAGAAATAACAGACAAAAAATACAAGACCTACTATATTAAAATGAAAATGGAAGTCCACATGACAATACATAAAACAGATAAGTCATTGGTAATAAGACAGAGTAGGAACAAACAAGATGAGAAGTAAACAAATAGGTGGAAGGAAAGAATAAGAGTTATTCTATTAGCAATAGCTACATTACAAGCAGGACATGAAAAGAGTCCTGCCATAGTTAACAAATCATTTCCACTAAAATCAAGATATCTTTATGTTGGTAATTTGATTTTCATGTGATTTATCTGAAGTATATCTATCAGTTTCTACCTATACTATTTCCCCATCACAATAAAGTTAAGAGTTCTGAGGGAAAGAGGGGACCTAAGATTTTGGCTAAGTGGGGCAGGACCCAAAAATTGGTTCTCAAACATATTTTAAAGTTCTCAATCATGACTGTTAACTCTCCAAACTCATATCATTCAAATTGATAATATTACACATTTTTTCATATGATTGAATAAATTTGTCGTTTTGCATGTAAATTCGATCTCATGTATTATCATTACCTACTAAATATCATTTCTAATGTCCATAAGCATCTATTGAAGGTCACAATATTTGAAAACAGATGTGTACGGATGCCAACTGTTTAAAATATAGATGTTTATACAATACTTTCATTACTTACTCTAATAATTCTGGATCTAGTCCTTCATCTTTCATCTTCAATTTAATGGCAGTAGGTGGGACACCCTAAAATTTAAAATCTAAATTAATATTCCAATTATCAAAGATCAAAATTTTTAATTATTCTAAATAATATATTTTTGAAGATTTACAGAACTCGAACAGACCATATGGGCAATGAACCATGTATCTTAAATTTACCAGAGAGAAATTAAATCAAATGTAAAACATGATCCATCAACCATTACAAATGCATTATTCATGTCTGACAAGTCCAATAATAATTTATGTTCTATTTTTGGAATTTTACAAGTTTCATACATACACCTCTCCAATATGATTTAGCAAACATTTTTTACGTTGTGGTCAGCATGTTTTATATTAGATACTTGTAAAATATCATTTAAGATGTCCATTATCAACAAAGCTACCCTTTTGTTTTTAATTGAATCTTCTTTTGAAACTATTATGTGTCTGTCCTAAGACAGGAATGTCTCTTAATACTTTTAGAATATGGATGTGCGGTCAAAAATGGGATTTTCAAAACTAGTTTAAAAATGGTGTGGACACCTGTCCATGTTTCAGACCATATAATGCCCTCCAAATGTCAATTATTTTTGAAAAATGTATTGTGTCTCATTGAGGTTTATCCAAAATTTCCTTTAATTCAAATTTGAAGCTTTTAAGTTAAAATACAAGAATATATTGATATCTAAAGCATGGTTTGAGAAGGTTCAATAAAGACTTAGATTCATGCTCTTTATAATTTTAATATTTAACAAGGAATGTATGTATGCATTTATGCAGAGATAAAAGAAAAGCTTTTAGTATAATAACACTTATAAAGCACTTGATTCTGACTTCTTGAAAGAAAATTGTTTTTCCGGTATTGGAGAGACCTATATTTATGCCTTATTCTCATAAGAGTATGTCATGTTCAAAAAGATTGGGGTGGGGGTTATTGGCAAAACTACAATGAAATTCTCTCTGAACTTGTGAACTAATGTCAAATTGATATACATACAAAGTGTAACATTTTGAAGAACTTCATATATCTTGGATCTTTTGATACTGGGTTTGTTGATTCTGGTGGTGGTGGTGCCGCTGCTTCATCTGGAGGCTAAAATTAAAGTCATATTGTTGCTAACCATGTTTAAAATATCTGAACTTATAGGATATAATTTCAAAACCAAATTAATCAGCTGTGCCCTAAAGAGACTCACCATGGCAGTAAACAATTGGAGACTGTTTTCTTTGATGGTTACTTTCCAAAATTAAACTGGATTGAATTTTCATAATCAAAATCCATCTGATCCAAATCTTTATTAATATACCATCGTATATAATCGTACTCACACTCAGCCAATCAAAATGCTGGATTTGGTGTTTTGGGCAAAAATTTTGTACAGAGTAAAGTTTTATGACCGAGGACCCTGGTATATATACAGAATAATTTGAGATAGTAATGATTTATCAAACTGCTTAATAATGTAAAAGATATTTGCATTGCTAATCAAAACAATTCACTGTTTCATATTATTATGCAGTCTGGGTAATATTTTCAAAATATTACGCCAAAACGTTGAAATTGGTTAACAAGCTCCTAAACAATGAATATCCAACTAATTGTGTAACGTCATTTTCATTTTGGTGTACAAGCTTTACAAAGAAATTGCCCACAATCCTCTAACATCTCTAATGGTAAATTGCCTATCGGTTTTATTAAACAGTAGGTAATTCAAAGTATTTGCAGTATCAACAGTAATAGCAAGATCTTGGTGAAAATAAATTTCTAATAAGCTGCTTATGTAACTTACTGGTGGTTGACCTGCTGGTGTGGCAGTGGCTGCAGGAGTGGCAGTAGCCACAGGTGTGTCTACTGGAGGTGGAGGTCCTCCTGATGCTTGTGATGTAGTTGTTCCACTAGAAGCACTGGAAGGTGCTGTTACATTTTCTAAACCAGGAACAGATGAAAGCTGCAAAAAGAGATTTCAGAAATTATAATAACTATTTTTATATTATGATGTACATGTATTAACATAAACCTTCTTATTCACATACTAATCAAACTATTACTATTTTGTTTGACAACATATTAATTAAAAAAAAAACAATTTGTTTATTTGAGGTATCTAAATGCAAACCAGGACACTCAACTGCAGAAAATAGATTTTCTTGGCTCATAACATACAAACAGATGAGAGAAATTAAAATTAGATCTAGGTAGACTTACTGTACTATTAGTGCAGCCTGCACTTCTTAAATTTTGAACTCGAGTAATAATTATCAGTTTACAACACAAAATAGATTTATTCCAGCATTAATCAATTTTATTCATCTTTATTGAAATCTTCTGCCTCCTTTTATTAACACATGGTTTGTCTGTTCTCAGATCTTCTGCTTTAGGTGTTTGTGTTTTGAATGCTAATGTTGCTTAGCTTTTCATATTGCATTGAATGTATTGTTGTTTATAACTATTCTACTTAATATTCATTTCCAATCTATACATGTTCTTAATTTGTATAACTGTTGAAAATAATTTAAGAAATACCCCCTTGATGTTATTTTAGGATTTAATCCTGATTATTGGAACACCTATAGGTACAGAATAAATACTGGTTAATTTATCTTTACTACATGTATTAACAAATGGATAATGTAGAGTAGAGATATACCTTTTTTATCTGCTCCACTGCCTTTATCATTAATTTTGAATTTATTAGCAATACCTGTATATTCCCATAGCCATATTTAAGTTCTACAAAGATGTTTCCAATAGTCCCTTAGTACATGTACTTTCAAAAAATCTAAAATGACTAAACCAGAAATATGAAATTTGAAGACAAATTCAAACTAATTTTCCAAAGATTTAAAAAAATAAAGTTAGAGAATGGAAATGATAAATTCAGCAATTTTCCATTTGTAAAGGGGCATAACTCTAGAACGGTAAAAGTGACGCCACCAAAATTCAGTCTTAATCTGTGTTTTGTGGTAATAAGTATTGTGTATAAGTTTCATAACATTTGGTTTAGGCAAACTAAAGTTATAGAACGGAAACCAATTTTGGGACGTACGTACGTACAGACGGACAAGGGTAAAACTTAATGCCCCCTCCGCTACAGAAGGGGCATAAAAAAAGGTTTTCAAGTTTGCACCATCTAGGTCATCATGACCTAATTTTGATAATGTGAAATAAAATTTTACATGACATGTAAGCAAACAAAATAAGATGACCTTATCTCATATTAATGATTTCTGAGACACATATCTGTATGCTGAGCTATTCAACCTTAATTTTGTTAAGCAAATAAACTCTTTTAAAATGCAAGACAATGATGATGATGAATAGGTGTTTATTGTTTAGCAGCAAATTATATGCATATTCTGGACGAGGACATGTTAATTAAGAAATTAATGTTTCTTTTTGTAATATTATTGGGTGTAAAAGTGATGACCGAAGCACATTTTGTATACAGCGCTGAAGCGCTTCATTCTAAAAATGTGTGCACCGTGGCTTAAAATACAAACCTTAGCCTCTAATAAATTCATTGATACTTCTAATTCCTGAATTCTGTTTGACATATGTTCTAATTTTTCTTCACACACAGAAGAAAATCTGTTAAGAAATTTAGCTGTATGTGTAACAAAGTGGTTTAAAAATGCAACAATTCTCTTCTGCTGAATAGCTTCCACCTGAAACCAATAAAAAAGTATTCTTTTAAACCAAAACAAAATATTCTTTTCATACAATATTTAGTCATATCAAACAAATATATCACTACTACATGTACTATGTGTTTTAAAATAATAGAATCTTTACATGCTGTTTATACAAATGTACTGATGTTCAAAATTTGTCAATATAAAGAAATATCTTCTATATTTCTATAAAACAAAAATCAGTTTGAATTAAAACATGTTATATTCAGTAAAATGTATGTCAAGTTAAAATATGTTGTCAATAAGATTCTATGGGAGATAATCAGATATCTATAAATTATATTTTTTCATATCAATTAAAACATCATTAAACCGTATTTCAAATAAAATTATACTTTTCTGAGTATTCTAGATTATCATGATTATAATTTAAAGACAACTCTGTAACATGTAAAGAAAAATACATTTTAGAAAAGATTATTTGAAAACTTTATATTTGATATTAATTTGTTTATTATAGCAATTCAAAATTCATACAATGTAAAATGTATGACTTTCCATTTGATATATGATTAAAGAAATACATCCGTACAATTTCACTTTTGACACTATATGTTACATTGATGACTTGACTAGTTCTTCTACTGCAGTTTGGTAAAATTTCTGACCAGTTGAAGAGTTTGGTATCAGGTCGTTTTGGCTTCAAACCAATCCGGCCCCAAGTCAATCCAGTCCCAATATAAAAATAAGAAGATGAGATATGATTGCCAATGAGACAACTATCCACCAAATTTCAAATGAAGTGGATGTAAATCAATTCTGACCAAGTCGATCCGTCCCATGTTGTTCTAGCCCCATAATAAAATAGTGAATAATTATTATAAAAGACACAGATTTTTCTGAAGTATTTGATTCAGGGCAAGTGTCAATTTGCATGTGAAAAAATAATATATTTCGATATGAAATCAAAATATAAATAATCGAAATATAAATATTTCAAATATTAAAAACAATATTTTCCCGTAATGAAATTTATATTTGAATATGCATCCATGTGTATGCATCAAAGGCACAGGTTGTGATCGTCCACCTTTGATATTGTTCATACAATTATTATTATTTAAGAACAGTTCAACTACACATGCTACATGTCAACATATATATACTTTTTAGGCCAAAAAAAAATATATGTCTGTTTAAGGTTACATACTTAAAAAAAAATAGGGTAGGTAGGTCAGTATTTCTATTTTATTTTATTTTTTCATTTTATTTTTTGTGACATGATTTTGAGTCACGCCGTTTCGTCTTGTTGTGGTCCGAGTTGATCATGGGTAGAGTTTACCCGTATTTTTAATGATTGGATTATTTCCCTTGGTAATTGGTTGGAAAAAAATGGTGGCAAAGTGTTTATTTCATCACACGAGATGCGAAATTCCTAAAAACAGCTGTCATATTCACGATTGTGAACAATGGGATGTATCAGGCAATTGATTTGTATTATTTGCAACACTAACTTCGCTTTTGACACGAGTTCAGTTTATTTTTCCCTTTACGGCGGAAATTAAATGACTTAGGGTAGGCGCTCAAAAGTAGGGTCGGTCGGGTAACCGTAAACAGACATATATTTTTAATTTGGCCTTACCCCTTGTAAATATTTTTTTTAAATTGGGGCCGGATCGACTTCTAAAGTGGGCCAAATCGACTTCAGGTCTGATGGACATGAAAGCGAACAGTTTGATTTGATGAAACGAATTGCAATTGGGTCAGAATTTTGAATGATAAGTCTTTTATTACTTCTTATTTTCACATGAATAAACAACAGGTATATACTTGTACACACTTTAAATCATGTAATTCAAATTGGTTTTTTTTGTATTTCCTATGTAATTTATGTTGACACCTAGATTTGCATGTTTACTAGCAATATGCAGTATACTATCCATGTTAATAAGTAGAACTGATTAGTATACAGACATAGATAGTATACTGCACATTAATTTCCAATCCGTAGTGTGTGTCCAATCTGTGGTTCACATAAATATTTCAATGGTCATGATGGTAGACGAAGATAAATTTACAAAATTAACAATGTTTGACAAGCAATTTGGAAAGGAATATAAAATGTTTTTAATGCAATAGATGGGTGAAACATGAACTATAGGCAATTTTCATCACGTTCAAATAAAATAACAAATCTATTTTGAAAATTATCAGAATGTTTTGATGTACGCTCTTGAGTAACAAATACCTGGAGTGAAAGAAAATACTTCTTAAAAATTGTTTTCTTTGAAATACCATACTACTACCAATCTGCATTGTAGTCAATGCTTTCACAAAATTTCGAAAGAAAAAAATTGCTAAGCCTTTGAATTTCTTTACTTATAAATAAAAAATTACTGTTTCATCAACTTGCCAATGAGGAAAGCGAATGTTGAGAACACCAAGGGGACTAGCTGTTGCTTTTGACGGTAGGGAAAAGGGAAGTGAGGGACAGGAAAGCAACTTCTTCGCCTCGTAGTATTAGGTCTGGTTAAATAATAGAGTTCTATATATATATATATATATATTATAACTACTCTAAATATCAGCACAACAATGTTAAATCTGCAAATTTGCAGAAGAAAATTTTTGTTCTTCCTTCGCCGGGATTCGAACTCATGCTATTGGGATATCGCGACAACACTGCCTGCACTATGTCCATCGCTCTAGACCACTCTGCCACCTAGACTGAACTAATAATTCAGCTTTCGGTGGCCTAGTGTTACCTTTCCTCGTCAGTAGAATCTAGAGTTGTAACACAGTACATTATATATTAGACATGAAGATGGAATTGATTGCAGATTAGCTAAATTATCTGTTGTAAAGGATCGTAAGATGCAGTCACAGAAATAATTATTTGATAAGTACGTCTAAACAAGTGACAACTCTACGACAGGTCCATCCATTGGATCACCAGTGAAGGTGATACATGGCTGAATATATATATATATATATATATATATAATGTAAGTGTGCAAAAAGACATCGTTAAATCCATACAAAAGAGAGGTGCTAGATTTATCACCAAAGACTACAAATCGAGAGAGGAAGGTTGAATGACAAAAATGCTACCAGCATGATCAGAACTTCAGCTTCCGTCACCACAATCAAGACGTCAACAACAACACGACTGATCTTCTTTTTTCAAAGTGGTTGAGGGGAAGATACCAGCGCTCCCTTCTGACGACCTGATTAAATTCCATAGACCAAAACGACAAATCAGAGCAACAACCTATAATAACTTTGTTACTAAGAACATTATAGACCAAGAAGTTCATAACAACAAACGAGCAGTCATAGTTCCATCTAGTAAGACCGACCAGTTCAAAAACTCTATTTTAGTGCGTACTGCAGTAGATTGGAACCATCTGGAGGACTCAATAGTGTGTGTCACTACAACCGAGGAGTTTAAATCAGCACTCCTCAGCAAGCGCGACTAACTTGTGCAGACCAACCTGTCACACAGTAGCTGAAAGGAATCTGTGACGTACCCATCCATATCAAGGATCCAGAAATTTTCCAGACAATTTCGGTCATTTTGAGATGTTTGAAAAGTTGGTGCCCCTTTTCAAATTGTCGATATCAACTTGACTATATTCATAGCATCAACGAACATAACGAACTTGTATTGCTGTTTCATCGCATTTACTAAGTAAATATCTTACCATTACCATGAAGGACAGTTTAGGGAAGGCAACAGTCTAAAATTGAAATGATTTTAATGACTCAAAATGGTTAATTTCTCAGACATTGCTTACGTTTCTTTCGATTTGACAAAAGTTAAAACCGGAAGTTTGCGATATTTTAAAGGACAAATGATTCCGGATTCATTTCCGGGATTTGTTTTGTTTATCAAACTAACAGGAAATCACCGGCTTTTTATGGCTTTTTTATTTTATTACCTTTAAAAGTGTTTGAATATAACAGATAATAGTTGCACTCATTTAATTTAGCATAAAATCAATTTGCATTTTACGATTAAATATTAAATTTGCTGAAGACAATTTCACGCATGCGTATTACATAGTAAATAAAGCACATGTGTTACTCATGAAAAAATACTTTTTTCTACGTTAATTTAGATTTAATTTTTAAATCAGAATTGATGACTGTCTTTGATGAAAAGTAAATAAATAATGAATACACTTGTCAGGGAACTTTAATGTTTTAAAGATATTATTCTGAGCTAGTGATCACTGTCAGGTGTGAATTAAAACCACAGGTTTCCCGGAGGCATTGATATAGATATTAGGAGGGCCCTCAGGATTATCAAACTACTGCAGTGGCAGTTTTATTACAGGAAAGGGATTATAAACAAAAACAAGTGATCACAAGTGCAAAATGGCGATTAAGAAACCGATTTCAATCATTGAGTCAATGAAATGACCGAAATTACTTCTGTAAAAAAATAAAATTTGTCCTAAATCCCAATTACTCGTTTAGGACAAATAGTTTCATCTTAGGACATGACTGGCAAATATGACCGTTTCCGGACCCTTGATCCATATACAGAAGTGGGAAATACATACATACATACATGAGGGTCGTAATGGGGGTACCTTCATGACGAATAACAGTACAAAATCTTGCCAAATGACGTTAACAGTAACTTTTTGGTGCATGACGATAAAATAAACACTTTCTTTAAGACGATAAAAAAATCGACTGATTTTGACGAATCATGTTAATTTTTTCCAAAAAATAACGGCAGACCTGCCAACTATCCCGATTTTGGCGGTATTATCCCGATTTTCATGCCTCAACCCGAATCCCGATATCGGGTTCCTAAAACAAGCAAAAAACCCGATTTTCATAAATTCTACCCGAGAAAATTTTATTCTTACCGATTTCCGGTAATGGAGGACAACATAGATATATTATCCAATCAAATTCATCGTAGTATCTGATATTCGGGTCATGTTGATTTACCTGAGGATTATCGATCTGTTTTGACACTAAGTATTATGTAAACATATACACGTGCCTCAATAAAATCAATGATTTGTCAAAGTTTTATGGGTCTTAATTGGTAATAAAATTATTGATCTTTGTTATTTATACCGATCAGCTTGGGAGTTACATAATTAACTGTTTTAATTTTTTTACTTATCATTTAATTGAGATTAATTATGTTATAATCAAGTTAACTAGTTAAAAAAATTCTTTAATCAGGTGAACATAGTTAATAATTATCTTAATTATAACAAGAGTTACCAGAGCAATGTGTTGTATACCCAACTCCAATGCAGATTGTGAGAGAGTCTTCAGTATGGTCAAGAAGATACACACAGAACACAGGACATCACTGGACAACTCAACACTCTGTGACCTACTTACCACTAAGATCAACTCAGACTGTGCATGCTACCAGCTAAAACCAGACAAAGACTTGTTGAAGACAGCAAAGAAAGCATTTGTTGCTTACAACAAAGACTGTGGAAATTAGTGCCAAATGACAATTTTATAGTGCTGACAATTTTAAGTGATGATAATGTAACTTAGTGCTTTCTACTTAGTGCAAAATGAACATTAGTAGCTTTTATGTTTTTTTGCTCCTTGTGCATTATTGTTTTGTATTGTTTTTATCTCCTTTAAATGCTACTGAATAAATATTATTAATATGACATTTACCTTGTTTATCTTTTCATGACATAGTTTGCAATGTATGCATTAATGAAGCAACCAAGTCATTGTTTATCAATTTATTTTAAATAGATACATTGAAAATACAAATAAAACACTGAAATAAAACAAATATAACACTGAAATAAAACAAATATAACACTGAAATAAAACAAATAAAACAAATGAACCAAATGAAAGAAACATCTTTACACAGAATGATACACACAGCATCAAAACAATCTCAAGAGTTCAAGAAACAAACCAAAATTGATCCTAAATATACATGAAATACTTTCTACTGGACATTATAAAAAAAAAACAGTCACAAGATGAAGCGATACATTTAAATTTTTTTCCCCGGGGAAAATCCCCCATGGAGGTTTTCATAAGTTGGCAGGTCTGTAACGGTAACAGTAATTATTTGAGACCTCTGACGAATCACGACAAGGATATTTTTAGACGAATCATGGCAAAATTTTAACCAATTTGATGCTAACGGTAGCCAAAAATGACCGTTTGACGCCTGACGGTAAAGGGCATTCCTACCCTCATACATACAACTGAACACTGACAGCTGAAGTGTCATTTGGTCTTTGGCAGTGATAAAGTGGTGACAGCTTATCTTAAGTATGACAAATGATTTTAAGACACCTTTGTATAATCTACACCAGGTCCAACAAGAGGCAACCCATCTGAATCCATTATGGAGTGAAATATCAATTTGTTTTGACAAATCAAGGGTAGATATCTTTTCAGCGGTTTTAGCAAAGTGAAACCGGAAGTAGATTTTCCATAATGGAGAGAATAGGAAATTATAATCAATGCATAAAATAAATATTTAAACTGATTTAATATTTACACTAAACTTAATATATATGTCTTTGACAAAAGAAATCAAAGGTATATTGTCATTCTATTTTACTTCTATCAAAAGTGCGGGACTAACTTGGTGAAAAACTTACTTCCGGTCAGTGTTCTTGCTGAAATTTCAAGTGATAATTCCTTAAATATACAGCAATGAACAGTGAACCGTCTTTAGAGACGGTTTATCAAGCGCTTCAAGCACTTTATCAAAATCCAGACGTAAATGGAAAGGAAAGAGCATCAGTATGGCTCGGAGAATTGCAACGCTCGGTAAGCAAACTGATCTGACTGCTGCACTCCCAACAGTAGATAATTTTATGTTTAGTACTAAAGCCCACTAATACGATAAAATAGTTTTATACTTAACCATGCTATTATATAATATACAAATCTTTCAACTGTTTTCACATAAAGAAAAAAATACATAGTGCTATTTTGGAATCTCCGTCTGTGGCACATGCTATGAGATTTTGTGACACCTGAACTATTGACGAAACAAAACTATAGATTTGCTTTGAGGTGTTGGACATGTTATCACTTGACAATAAAATATTACTTGGACGTACAACTTGATGTCCAGTCATTACAAACAAATAGTTATCAAGTGCCTTCATTGAAGTTCATTCAAATTCACTCGCCAAATTCCCAATTTATATGAGTGCCAATTGCTGACATGCCAAATATTTCTCTAATATTCCTGTATTGTTATTATTTGTCATTACCTGCCGTTGCCAGAACTGGTTAATTTGCATGCCTGCTGCCCTCCTTGATTGTGGTAGCTGTTTCACATGAGCTCATGATCCCTACAGTGATCAAACCCTGAATCCCCATTTTAACTATGGTAGGCACATAACGTACATGGCTTTCGAGACGCGACGGCCATACTTCCATGACGGCCATAGGATGTGTCGGCCATACCGTCACATCGTCCATGGGACATATCGGCCACACATTGTGAGACGTATCGTCCACACTTTAAAAAATTTTTTTTATTGAGGTTATAACATAAAATATAATAATAAAATAAGTATTTATTCATAATAATAACATTAATATGATTTTGTAGTATTTTTTTCTGTACAAGAGATCTTATTTATTCTTGTAAGAGTTATCTTTGCTTGATCATCATCACTCGTGTTTACAACTTGTTGGGGCCATATTATGTAAGTATATTGATTATTTCTTCATTATCAGTTATAAACAATTTCTGAAGAATCATTTTTATTGTAATGTGATAATATGAGGCAGGCATTACCTGTGAAAGGGGACGAAGTCTGTATGAATTATTTTTTTTAATTCAAACATATGTTCAAAAAGAAACGGAAATACCGTAACGTTTCCGGTTTTGGTTCTGTTGTTAGGTGATTTTAGTTGTGACGTTTTTTAAGTTATGACGTCATATTCAATGTAAACAAAGAAACGCTATCATCAGGTAACGTTTTTTCATATCAAATAATTGTTAAAAATGAAATTTGTATTGTGTTCCTTCCTATATTTTACCGTGAGACTGATAAATATACATTTTACTCAAAGTATCATGACAAACGAGACCGGAAGAAGGAGGCAGATTTCTGCGCAGATGCGGGGAAATAAAAAAAGTCTGAAAAAAAAAAAAGTTAACGATTTTGAGTTCATTAGTACAATGAAAATTTCGGGAAATTTTCCCGGATTTTTTTTTTTTTTTTTTTTTTATTTATTTTTCTACCGTAATTGGGGACTTCGTCCCCATATAAAGGCATCTTATTTTATATGAAGTTTAAATTGTAAGAATGTTGACTGTCGCTGTCGATGACAATATATAAATACAAGCACATGTTACAGATCTTTTTATTATATCTGTAAAAAATATATTATTCTAAACAATAAAAATCTTCTCAATCTCAGTCTTGATGAAATTTAAAACAGGACTCAGTGTTAAGGTTAACTCTAAGGAAGGCAGTTCATCAAGTTCGAGTTATATTTGTCATGATCATCAGACACATAGTTTAATAATTCTGTATTTTTTTTTCTTTCTTATAGTTTAAAGTCATTCCATTTGCTGAACATCTTTCCAAGACGGAGACTACTGTAGAATTTTCCAATAACATAACAAATTAACCGTAATATCTGACAGGAATGTGCACCCTAATAACATGATAAAAGATGGCCAGTTTCATTTTTATCATACTGAATGTTCTTTTTGCTTAAGTTTGTTCATTGTGTTGAATACTATTTGTTGACAATTTAAATGTTCCCATTTTTGTGCATTTGTTGATGGAGAATTGTATTATGGACAATCATACCAATATACTCTTAGTATAAGAAAAACAAAAAGATATATAAACCATACATCATACATACACAAAACACTCATATATATTATTCTTTTCGTTCAGGCATGTAGAAAATCAAACACATCGAAATGTAAGAACATACATATATACATATGCCATTGAACATTCATCTTATATACATTTTTTAAATTAACAATCTCATACTTTTTCTCTCATATGCTCATGTCACTCATTCATTTATTCCACTGCATACACATTTCACCCAATATTCAAACATTTATATTCACATTCACACATATAACCTATATCATAAAGCACTAAAATACATAAACATGCAGTTATAAAAGTCACAACATAAACATGCAGTTATAAAAGTCACAACTGAAACAAAAGCACTAAACATACCAAAATATACTATATTATGATCATTTACTTCATGAACTCATTAAAGTTACTATTTTAACAAAGCACTATACACAGAATAAGCACAACCAATAAGTTCTTCAAGTCACTACAATTAACACTTAATCAGACTCGATGTCGGAATCTTCAGAGTCGGACTCTGGGAGGGTCTCTGGTTGTGGAACAGGGGGTGCATACAGATGGCCTACGGAGCGGAGAAAGTCTGATGTTCTGATACTGTCTTCCTCGTACTGGTCCCACAGTGAAGTTAGACGGCCTTGAAGCTGCTTGTATGTGTCTCGTTGATATCGGCTGAGCTGCTGTTCACTCACAAGCTGCTGTGTGATGGACACGGTCTTAGCTTCTTGTTGGAAGGCTGGCACAATCTTGTAAAAATGGAGGTGGTTGTGGGCAGCCTTGCCATTGAAACGCCTATGCCACCCAAAATAAACACAATAATTACTAAAAATTTGAATAAAAACGGAACAATTTTAATGTTAATATTTATAAAAACTCAAATATGATGATAGTATAACTTAAACTTTACCATCCTAAAATAAATAAAATTGTGTATTGTTGCACAAAAAAAGTATAAAAAAAAACGTCAAATATAATATAATATTATATGTCAAAATATAATTCAAAATATATAAATTCACATTAATATTTGTAACATTGTTTGATAATTGGCAATCACGTAAACTAATTAAAGGATTAACACCTCCGAAATTTGTATACTTTGCATTAAACAGAGACACGCGCCCAATGATTGGATTAATATGATTTATGATGGGTCTTTTTTTTATAGTTAATCAGACATAATCATAAATAACGGTTTGAGACCTTTGGCATAACAGGACTTATTCGGAATAATAGTCAACCACAAAAAATGAAAAATTTAGGTTGAATACAATTTTTCTTCTCAAAATAATAAATAAACGTTAAGAAATTAAAACAATTCTGTCGAACACACAACATTTAAAGAAATAATACAATAACGTATATGTACCTCAACCTCCATATCTTGTGGTATGCGGACACATTCTGCACAGTGGAAAATAATGTCGACTTCTTCATTTACCATCAGGCGGTAATCAGTAATTGATATACCTGAAATAACAAGAAATTTAAATATGACATATATATATTTCTTTACAGTCAAGTAATATTAATGCACTGATAATAATGTTAAAGGCCGTAGTAAGGTGACCTATAGTTGTTAATTTCTGTATCATTTGGTCTCTGATGGAGAGTTGTCTCATTGGGAATCATACCACATCTTCTTTTTATATCTATTAATTGATACCTATGGTCCATTTATTGGACAAATGTGTAATGCAAATAACACTTAATATAGATTTAATTCTTATCAGGGAAGGGTCTTAACCAAAATTAAAGTAAAAAAAAAATGTATCTAAAATATGACCGAAAGTACGAAATATGATTCAAAGGAAAAACTAAATTAATAATAAATTTGTAAATACCTGTATTGCAAAGCCTGTGTTGCCATTTATCACAATCCTCACATTGGAGAGCATGTTGTCTTGGTCGGACTTGCTGGTCACATAGCACACAAGGGTACGACATGATGAACAGCAATTTTACAATTGAGTGCCACCGACATTTCTGGTTACTTTTATAAAGCAAGGTCGGTACATCAAAAAGACTGCTCAAACAGCTTGTATTTTTACAAGAATTTCACTACAAAATTTATGTTTGCACTCCGCTTGAACTCAGCTTGGGTGTTGTGTTTTTATAGTGATCTTGAATTGTATTTCCATTACAATTTCTTGACAAAAGCATAATTAATACTTGTGTTCATCAAAGAAGTAATAATAAGCAATCAACAATCTTCTTAAATTTCAAACTTAATCATAACTTGATTACCTTGTTTTATATATTTCAAAACTGAACTTATTGTTTTAATTTTGACAGAAATTAGTCTCCCATTCGGATATAGTCATTCATATTTGTTCATTTTGTTCTGTTTGTTATACGCAAGATATCAAAAAATCATTTAGAAAACAATATGATATTTTAATATTTTATTAGATTAAACACATTCATTTATGATATATATATAATGAGTAAACAAATGATATAACAAAATTAAACATGATAAATAATATAAAAACAGTAAAGTTTATTTAAAAGTTATGATAACCATCTATAAGTATCAAAATAATTCATATATAACATCTATATAAAAAAAAAAAAAAAACGTGGACGATACGTCTTCACAAAGTATGGCCGTTTTTGTCATATGGCCGTTTCATCTTTTCGGGGTATGGCCGTTTCATCCTATGGACGTCATGGCAGTATGGCCGTCACGTCCTGCATCGCGTACATGTACCATTGCAAAAGTTCTGGGGAAAAAAGTATCTGTATCTGTGCTGTATAAGCAACAAAAACAATATATCTCTAAAACTAAATCTGCTCACAAATTTATTCAAACACCATTGGATCAGTAGTGACGTTACCATATTTAGGTATATCTGCTGTCTTTTCTATTCTAATGGTGAATACTTCTAAGAATGACTTATTACAGTTCAGTTTCTTGTATATTCCTCCATTAATTGTGGAGCACTACCCATAGGGTATAATTGTAGCAACTATATACACCTTAGAACATAAGGAAACATTTAATTATGTACAGATTGTATTACTCAAAATTTATTATTAAGTATAGTGATTTCAACAAACCTTTGTCATCAGCTTTAAATCAAACACCTCTACCAGTTTGATACACTTGTCTCTTGAAGATGGCTTCAGAAACTATTATCAGAAGGTTACAAATTGTTTCAAGTACAGTACACCATCGGAATTACTTATAATTAATTATCCTAAATGTGCCTATGAATATACATGATATAAGAGGACAATAAAATGTATATGTTTAGGATGTAAATCTGAACATGCTGTAAGATTTAATTTATACATGAAAGTTATTATTTTTTTTTTCTCAGCATGCGTCAGAAAAGCAATATAATTATTATATTAAATTCAAATCACAGGAACATGTAGACTGACCAAGATTGAATCCTAATACAAATGATAAATGATTAAATTTACTTTTATTTCTAGAATAAATGACTTATTATTCATTATAATCTCTGATATAGCGCTGTAACGAGGGGGCAATAAGTTTTACCCTTGTCCCTCTGTATGTACATCCGATCAAAATTGGTTTCTGCTCTCTCACTTTAGTATGCCTCAACCAAATGTTATGAAACTTATACACAATGCTTATTACCACAAAACATAGATCAAGTTTGAATTTTGGTGGCGTCACTTTAACTGTTCTAGAGTTATGCCCCTTTACAAAGGGAAAAATTGCAGATTTTTTTTTATTAACAACAGCAACGAATATGGGCAGAAAAGCTTTCTCCATTGAATTTTACTTAACTATTGCAATATCTTTTCTTTTTTAAAATAAAAAACATATTGAATTTGTACAACAGAAAAATACGTGAAATAAGGCACTGGAAACAAAAGGCATTATGGCAAAATACCAAAATGATCAAATACTTTCATTGAATGCCATCACTTGGACCTGAAAGAAAAATAAAAAAACCTGAACACTTGCTGACTAGACTTGAAAAGTTATTTGCTAAACTTGGAAGATCAAATTCGTGTCCTTAAATTGCAATTACACATTCATTTGATAATCAGTTTTGAGTATTTGTGTGTTGTAGATGTATGCATGGCATGTATCTGACCAGTTGTTAAGAGAACATCAAGGACTGGAATCCTGTTATTTTGCTGCACAGACAATGAGAACAAAGGTAACATTTAGTGTGTATCTTCAAACAGGTAAAAAGTAATTATACTTTAGGGAACCCTGTATGCAATGTACATTATTATTTTCAATAATAGCACAAGTACATAGAAAAAAATGTACAACATATTTTAAGCAGATTGAGGTGTATAAAGTTTCAGATTCTTACTTTAAAGTTGTATTTGTTAGTCCATAAAAAAAGTTTTTAAAAAATAATGTAGACTGAATAAGAAGATATATTCATTAAGAGGCAGCACAATTGGAGTATAGACCCCTAATTGCATGCAACTTTAAAAATGTTCCAAAGAGCTGCAGATTTCTTGATTTAGGTTGATTGAAAAAGAGTAGTTGACTTGGACATGATATTGAAGTTGATGAGATTTTTCTTTGAATTTTTATCCTCTTGCTGTACATTTTAAATATTAGTAAGGAAATTGTTAAAAAAAATTATGTTGTAATTGGGAAGTGATGATTAAAGAATGATGTTTCATTACCAGAAATTTGAAGCCCAACTATACAATGATATACATAGTATAGGTACATTGAGTTTTTATTATTGGATTACATATTAACTTGCACCTTTTGTCATTTTGTTTCTATAATACGCAGTTACTAAATTATGGACTTGATTGATAGATTTTCTTTTGTGCTTGATATTTTATGGGTAGACACAAAATATGTCATTCAATAACATATCACCGAAACTGTACTAAAGTACAATTTAATTATGTTTAGCCTTAATCAGACAAACATCATCCAATGGTATTTTTAAATGCAGTGTGACTGTTTATAAATTATTCTAAATAGGTGCATTTTAAAAGTAATATGTTAATATTTCAGATACAGTATGCGTTCCATGAGTTACCTGTAAATTCTCACCAGGTAAGTTCACATTAAAACTAGATTTTACAGTAAAAGCAGTCTATTTTCTTTGTTTCTACTAAGTTTTTAGAAGAACTTTTGAATTTCTTTTAACAAACTCCTCAAGGTGACTACATTAATAATCTCTACACATGGATCTTGATTTGCCTAATATTTTGTCTGGACCATTTTAGAGATGAAAAACATATCAATAAATGCAAAGCATCAGCAATAGACATAATAGGGAGTGAATTTTCACTTTTTGTGAAATTCACAATCAAAAAGGCATTTGATTAAAAAAAATAGTTACAAACTGTTCACTTTTGGCTGTTTTCTGCTCTTTGGTCAGGTTGTTGTCTCTTTGACACATTCCCAATTTCCATTCTCTATTCTCTACTATATATACATGATATATATATATATAAAAATATATAAACAAGTCTGAATTGAAAACAACATTCAAACCTATGATTGCGTTGGATAAAATCCGCAATTTTTATACATGTGCATGCAAAACAAATTTCTTGGTAGAGGGGTCTAAATACAGCACAAACAACATCCAAAAGACCAAAAAGGTGAAGAAGTATATTTTAACAAAATGCATTTGACTAGCATGTCAAACAACGGATGTTCTTTTAAAAACACTGCTGACTGCCATGGTGATTGCCAAATAAAAACGGATCACAAGATGTAACAAAATGGATCATGATTATTAATTTAATACCAAACAGAAAACAATAAACTTGCGGAAAAGATGGTATTCGCAAATATGAGGTGCAAAAATTGGTACACCATATCTGGATTTCGACAATTAATGTCTCTTCAGTGATGTTAGGAATCGAAACGGCATTTGGAAGGCCATATAATTTACCTCAATTTAGGATAGACTCTTGAATTTTGAAGAGTTGAAATAGGATGAACGGATTATATAAACCCGAAGGCAAATATAATACAAGCCCATACGAAAAAATATAAACAAGTCTAAATTTAAAACAATGTTCAAACCTATGATTGCGTTGGATAAGAACCCCAATTTTTATACGTGTGCATACAAAACAAATTTCTTGGAAGAGGGGTCTAAATACAGCACAAACAACATTTTCCAAAAGACCAAAAAGTGAAAAAGTATATATATAATATATAAAGATTTTTTTAAAATTTCTTTGTTATTTCCCTGTTTGTTTCAGTCATTAAGAGATTCGTTGCTGGATCACGGTGGGAAATTGAATGCAGAATCCCCCCCAGCCATTGTTACACAGGTTTGTGAAGTATTAGTACACATTTGTGCCACAAAAAATTGTAACATTTATTTGCAGTTAAAGTTCTAGTTTAAAGTTGTAAATACGTACAAACATTGAGTTTATTCTGTCTATATGCTGAATAATTTTTTCGCTAAAAAAAGAAATAAGTAAGCACCTAGTTGGAACTCACTTCTATTAAAATTTGATGGGTGGTGATTATTTTAGAAAGATAACCTGAATAAATATAGGAAATAATGAATTATAATTTATGTATGATGGGGTAAAAAATTGCCCTCGACTCCTCCCCTACATTTCTGGAACAGCACAAAGCAATCTGGTTAACTTGTCTGATTAAATAGCCATGGTCATATCATGATTGTTTCAAATGTGACTTTATTTCAGCTAAGCTTAGCTTTGGCAGACCTTGCATTACAGATGGCATCCTGGAAGGACCCCATCATGGATCTTGTTCAGAGGTTTGTTCTTTGGTCTTCTTTTTAGAAACAAATCTAAGGCTCAAACATTGTTTTACTAATAAATGTTGTGACTTAATTTTTTTTTGAGTCATTTTGTATTGTCTTATGTTACAGCTACTTATACAGTTCTTCTAAATGTTTACTTTTGACAGACCTCATATTACTCTAGCAGTTTAATTTGAATTTGTTTGATTGATGTTTGAAATATGCAGTTTGGACAATTATTAAAAACATTTTTTATTGTGTTACATACATATAAATAAATTACTCCTCCTATGGGCCATTTGAGCTATTGCCATCACTTGGCCTCTGTTGACCACCTGATTATAAAAATGGATTTACACATGTTTTTAACATCAGTATACTACTGATGCCTCTTACTTTATACAGTACTTACATGTACCAGAACACTTATAAAAAATGTAATCTTTTTAACCTGGATTGAGAAAAATGTATGTATATGTGTTTTTAGCTCACCTGGCCCAAAGGGCCAAGTGAGCTTTTCTCATCACTTGGCGTCCGTCGTCGTTAACTTTTACAAAATTCTTCTCCTCTGAAACTACTGGGCCAAATTTGACCAAACTTGGCCACAATCATCATTGGGGTATCTAGTTTAAAAAATGTGTCCGGTGACCGGCCAACCAACCAAGATGGTCGCCATGGCTAAAAATAGAACATAGGGGTAAAATGTAGACTTTGGCTTATATCTCTGAAACCAAAGCATTTAGAGAAAATCTGACGTGGGGTAAAATTGTTTATCAGGTCGAGATCTATCTGCCCTGAAATTTTCAGATGAATCTAGCAACCCGTTGTTGGGTTGCTGTCCCCGAATTGGTAATTTTAAGGAAATTTTGCCGTTTTTGGTTATCTTGAATACTATTATAGATAGAGATAAACTGTAAACAGCAATAATGTTCAGCAAAGTAAGATCTACAAATAAGTCAACTTGACCAAAATGGTCAGTTGACCCCTTAAGGAGTTATTGCCCTTTATAGTCAATTTTTAACCATTTTTCGTAAATTTTTGTAATCTTTTACAAAAATCTTCTCCTCTGAAACTACTAAAACAAATGTAACCAAACTTGTCCACAATCATCATTAGGGTATCTAGTTTAAAAAATGTGTCCGATGACCCCGCCCGCGAACCAAGAAGGCCGACATGGCTAAAAAATAGTACATAGGGTAAAATGCAGTTTTTAGCTCATATCTCTGAAACCAAAGCATTTAGAGCAAATCTGACATGGGGTAAAATTGTTTATCAGGTCGAGATCTATCTGCCCTGAAATTTTCAGATGAATCTAGCAACACGTTGTTGGGTTGCTGACCCTGAATTGGTAATTTTAAGAAAGTTTTGTAGCTTTTGGTTATTATCTTGAATATTATTATTATAGATAGAGATAAACTGTAAACAGCAATAATGTACAGCAAAGTTAGATCTACATTTAAGTCAACATGACCAAAATTGTCAATTGACCCCTTAAGGAGTTATTGCCCTTTATAGTCAATTTTTTACAATTTTCATAAATTTTGTAAATTTTTGTAAATTTTTACAAAATATTTTCCATTGTAACTACCGGGCCAAGTTCATTATAGATAGAGATAATAGTAAGGAGCAAGAATATTCAGTAAAGTAAGATCTACAAACACATCACCATCACCAAAACACAATTTTGTCATGAATCCATCTGTCTCCTTTGTTTAATATGCACATAGACCAAGGTGAGCAACACAGGCTCTTTATAGCCTCTAGTTTATGCCCCCGCCACTAGGTGAATGGGGCATTAAATGGTACCCGTGACCTTCCGTCTTTCCATCCCTCCTCCCGTCCCATTTTTGTTTCCGCACTCTGACGTAAGTTTGCGTCATGCAAATTTTATGAAACTCATACATAATGCGGAGAACCAAAACTTCCAGACAGAGTTCAACTTTGGGCAGTGAGTCACTTACTGTTCTAGAGTTATGCCCCTTTATAGCTTAGAAAATTGCAAATTTTTTTGTGTCCGCACTAGCAGTGACATCAAATGCTCTCAAAAAGTGTTTTCACATATTATAAGCAAGATAGACAAATTCTTCTTTCATTTTTACATTTATTTCAATATGGAGCTGCAGTTATATATTTTGTTCTAATTTTATGAAAACAATGAATTTTTCATTGATTTAATTCTCTCTTTTTTTATAGATATGGAAGCAATCCACAGAATTTACCTTTCTTGTTAGAGGTGCTGACAGTATTACCAGAAGAAGTAAGTCATTATACCTAATTTTTGTTTCAGGGCTGTTCCATAAATTAAACGCATGGCGGCATGAGAGGCATTTTTTAAAGACCTTGACCACTCATAAAATAAAAAATTTCATTTTACTCATTATTTTTAAAAAATTTTGAGAAAAATGCATCCATCCATATTTGATTAATTTGAGTGCCTCCTACCCCCTTCCATCTGATAAATTTTGAAATAGCCCTAAATTTTTTTGGTCTTGAAGATGCATATTTTTGATAATTTCTACACTTTTGATGGTTTTACATGATATACTTACAATCCAGTCATACTTTTAATAAGTATATTGCTAGATTTTAAGAAGACGTGAATATAGCATTGCTGAAAACTGGAAATACAAATATAATGTCTTTAGTTAGTGACATGTATGCGTTTTTTATTTTGACAGGTGAATAGTAGATCATTGAGATTAGGTGCTAATAGAAGAACTGAAGTAACAGAGGAATTTAGAAAATCCTCACCAGTAATTCTACAGTTATTGGTAAGTTATATATTTTATCCAAAATTATTCTTCAGCTATTTTAAAAACAAGAAAATCACACGGTTTTATATTGTTTAGGTAATAAACACTTTTTTTTTGCTGATGTTTCAAGTTTTATTTTCTAGAATGATATCAATTCAGGAAACCCAAGGGATTTGATTATTTTCTTTGTAAACATCATAAAGAGCAGACACATTTTATACTACATTTAGAGTATGATCCATCTATTTTTTTTCCATATGTACAATTATTCAATCAAGATGTTCTCAATATTACCCCCCAAAAAATATTTTAAGTTGTGGATTTTTTTATCTGATTTAAAAAAAATTTAATGAAGTTGTCATTGTAAATTTTGTTATTCCACAGAAATACAAAGGGGAATGATTGAGGCTCAAAAAGTAGTTTGATATAAAAATAAGAAGGTTGCCTATAAGACTACTATCACACAGAGACCAAGGAATAGGATGTCACCTTAATACCTTAAACAACAAAGACCAATACCCTATAAACATGTTTGTTAGCGCTCAATCCTACCCAATATAAAATTAAGGAGATGTGGTATGATTGACAATGAGACAACTATCCACCAAAGTTCAAATGAAGTGGAAGTCCACCTAACTTGGGATTGTGATGTACATATAACAGCACACTGTAAAAATCAGTTGGAAAAGACTTGACTTTTAAGACCCTTACTAAGCACAAAAAATTAACAAGAAGACAACCAACACACAAAGTACCAACCTAATGGTACTCACAGCTATGAAAAGCTAGTTCAGAGCCCGATTTCAACTAATAAATGAACTATGTAACTCTTCTACATGTTTATATGCCTAAACAAGCCACAAGTCTGTTCAGTGGTTATTTTTGTTTTCATCTTGTTTGAAAAAATTGTAGTGTCAATGGCAGATCATTGGTAGCCTGTATTGAATTCCAAGCTTTGCATGATTTTGAGTTGACATTTGGTATCAACACTTATCTTTTACTGAAGACTGTGTAGAGAACTATGTATGTCTGTTCGTTTTTGTTAATTGTGATGTTTGTTTGCTGTTTCATTGACATATGCCCACATCACTGGTTTTATTTTTACTTAAGGATGCATGTGGTGAAAGCTGTGTGGGTGATACAAAGGGACAGATGAAGATATTTAGGTGTCTAGGAAGTTGGTTTAGTTTAGGTGCACTCTCAGAAGAACTGATTATTGGAAGTAAACTAGTCACAGCTCCATTTCAGGCATTGGTATGTAAATAAAGTATTGTACTGTTCCTAGATTTATTCCTTTGTAGATCTACTGTCTTTAGTCATTGCCAATGACAATTACAAATTAGTAGTTGTCCCCCCGTGCAATATGTTGCGGGGGACATGGAAATACCGGGCTTCCTTCCATCCGTCTGGCCTTATTAACGCTCTCACGTGTACAATTCTTGCCTGATTTTTATGAAACTTATGTCATAGATTTATATCAGCAATGTCTTGGACGAGTTCGAAGATCAGTGCTGATCAATTATTTTTAAAAGAGAAATGCCCTTTGGAAACATTAATTTTATGGAAAACTTCATTGTTAGCGCTCTCATGTGTACAATTCTTGCAAGAATTTTCTGAAACTTATATCATAAGTTTATATTAGCAATGTTTTGGACGAGTTGGAAAATCAGTGCCGATCACTTATTATACGACCGCAAAAATTAAAAATTTTTTGGTCGTATATTGGTATGACGTTGGCGTCGTCGTCGTCGTCGTTGTCGTCGTCGTCGTCGTCGTCCGGCGTCGTCCGGCGTCGTCCGAAGACACATTGGTTTTCGCACTCTAACTTTAGTTTAAGTGAATGGATCTCCATGAAATTTCACCATAAGGTTCAATACCACAAAAGGAAGGTTGGGATTGATTTTGGGGGTTATGGTACCAACAGTTAAGGAATTAGGGGCCACAAAGGGGCCAAAAATAAGCATTTTTGTAACTTTCAGAAAATAACTTGTGTGTAAGTGTATGGATCTCTCTGACATTGTACCACAAGGTTCCATATCACAAAGGGAAGGCTGTAATTGATTTTGGGGGTAATTGCCTCAAAATTTTAGGAATTAGGGGCCAAAAAAGGGGCAAAAAACAAGCATATTTCTAGTTTCATGACAATAACTTGTGTGTAAGTGTTTGGATATTTCTGAAATTGTACTACAAGGTTCCATATCACAAAGGGAAAGCTGGAATTGAGTTTGGGGGTAATTGCCCGAAACGTTTAGGAATTGGGGGCCAAAAAGGGGCCAAAAATAAGCATTTTTCTAGTTTCCAGACAATAACTTGTGTTCAAGTGTATGGATCTCTCTGAAATTGTACTGCAAGGTACCATACCACAAAGGGAAGGCTGGGATTGAGTTTGGGGGTGATGAATCATAAGGGGGTTCAAAAAATTGGGGGGGGATTTTTTTTTTTTTTTTTTTTTCTTTTTTTCCTTTTTTTTTTCTTTTGAAATTTTCCATTTTAAGTTGGTTATTTCTGATTTATATTTAAAAGCAAATAATAATGATATGGTAGGAGATACACACCAAACAGGATGTGTAAATTATTATATAATAAGTATTGTGCAATAGCAAGAAATTTTCAATTGCACAGTATTGCACAATAGCAAGAAATCTTCAATTGCACAGTATTGCGCAATAGCAAGAAATCTTCAATTTAACAGTATTGCGCAATAGCAAGAAATATCCAATAGCACAATATTGCGCAATAGCAAGAAATTGTCAATTGTACAGTATTGCGCAATAGCAAGAAATATTCAATTGCACAGTATTGTGCAAAAGAAGATACTTCGTATAAATTGCTTATTTCTTGATCAATTTCAATGGGGTTTTATTCTTGAATTCTTGGGGTTCTTTAATATGCTGAATCTAACCGTGTATTAAGTTTTTGGATTTTGGGCCCCGTTTTTAAATTGGTCCACATTGAGGTCCAAAGGGTCCAAAATTTAACTTTGTTTGATTTCATCCAAAATTGAATTATTGGGGTTCTTTGATATGCCGAATCTAACCGTGTATTTAGATTTTTAATTTTGGGTCCGGTTTTTTAAATTTGTCTACATTAAGGTCCAAAGGGTCCAAAATTAAACTTAGTTTGATTTTAACAAAAATTGAATTCTTAGGGTTCTTTGATATGCTGAATCTAAACATGTGTTTAGATTTTTGATTATGGGCCCAGTTTTCAAGTTGGTCCAAGTTGGGGTCCAAAATTAAACTTTGTTTGATTTCAACAAAAATTGAATATATGGGGTTCTTTGATATGCTGAATCTAAACATGTATTTAGATTTTAGATTTTTGGCCCAGTTTTCAAGTTGGTCCAAATTGGGGTCCAAAATTAAACTTTGTTTGATTTCAACAAAAAATTGAATATATGGGGTTCTTTGATATGCTGAATCTTACCATGTATTTAGATTTTTTATTTGTGGGCCCGCTATCAAATTGGTTCATATTGAGGTCAAAAGGGTCCAAAATTAAACTTTGTTTGATTTCATCAAAAATTGAATTATTGGGGTTCTTTGATATGCCAAATCTAACTGTGTTTTTAGATTTTTAATTTAGGGTCCCGTTTTTTAAATTTGTCTACATTAAGGTCCAAAGGGTCCAAAATTAAACTTAGTTTGATTTTAACAAAAATTGAATTCTTCGGGTACTTTGATATGCTGAATCTAAACATGTGTTTAGATTTTTGATTATGGGACCAGTTTTCAAGTTTGTCCAAGTTGGGGTCCAAAATTAAACTTTGTTTGATTTCAACAAAAATTGAATATATGGGGTTCTTTGATATGCTGAATCTAACCATGTATTTTGATTTTGGACATTGGACCATAATAGGTAAATTAAAAAAATTGAAGTTCTTAGACCACATTCTTTCTGTGTCAGAAACCTATGCTGTGTCAAATATTTAATCACAATCCAAATTCAGAGCTGTATCAAGCTTGAATGTTGTGTCCATACTTGCCCCAACTGTTCAGGGTTCGACCTCTGCGGTCGTATCAAGCTGCGCCCAGCGAAGCATTTTATTTTTAAAAGAGTTATGCCCCCTTGGAAATTATATTGAAAATTGCATTGATAGTGCTCTCATTTGTACAATTCTTGCTAGATTTTTATGAAACTTATATCATAGGTTTATATTAGCAATGTCTTGGACGAGTTCGAAAATCAGTGCCGATCAATTAATTTTAAAAGAGTTATGCCCTTGGAAATAAAAATTATATGGAGAATTGCATTGTTAGTGCTATCATATGTACAATTCTTGCCAGAATTTTATGAAACTTAAATCATAGGTTTGTATTAGCAATGTCTTGGAAATATTAATTATATGGAAAATTGCCTTATGAGCGCCATAATGTGTACAACTCTTGTCAGATTTTTATGAAATTTATATTATAGGTTTATATCATCAATGTACTTGAAGAGTTCAAAAATCAGTGCCGATCAATTATTTTTAAAAGAGTTATGCCCCTTGAAAATATTGATTATAAGGAAAATTGCAATGTGATCGCTCTTATGTGTTCAATTCTTGACAGAATTTGATGAAACTTATACCATAGGTTTATAACAGCAATGTCTTTGACACTTTCGAAAATAAGTTCTGATCAAATAATTTTAAAGAGTTATGCCTCTTGGAAATATAAATTATAATGGAAATCACATTGCATTTGCTCTGAAGCCTTCATATCTCTTAAGATATTAATAAAAAGTTTTGAAGAACAAAAAAAAATGTTTTTTTTAATTATTGCCCTTGTACCTTGGATAGATAAGATATGTGCAACGCGGGGGACATTGGAACTCTGTTCTTTTATTTGATTGCATTACATGCTTTAAACATTATATTGATTCTTTGATAAGTATTTACTGAGATTGAGACATGCTGATGGAAAGGTGTTTCAAGAACATTTTAGTTTTAATATTGAGTATTGAAGTCCAATTTTTTTACAGGTCATACCAGAATGTCCTGCCATGTTACATGAAGCAGCAACAGATTGTATATGTTCAGCTTTATACAGTGTAGAGGTATGATACTGAAACATACTTATTATTATGATTTTCTATAGATTCATGTCAAATTCTCAGTAGTTCAGTTTTTAGGTACTGATATGAAATAATTGTTTTTATGAAATTTATGTAATTTAAGAAATATTGTAATGGAGAATTATTTAAATTTCAATGCATACATTGATTTCGTTCATATGAACTTGTATATTATCATCATGCAGGTTATCAAATGATTGAATTTGAAAGCGGTTTTGTATCCAAATGGTTCCCTTTGGTGCTCCCATCATTTCTACAATTTTTGTTTATAATTTATGAACAGTTTAACTTGGGTATAAGCCATGTCTTTATATCAACAGGATTTAAAGTCACATCTACGTTTAGCTGAAGCCTTATACAATGGCGTAAAGACTTTACCAGATGCCTACCATATGTCTGTAGCACTGGATGATACAGATAAGTATGTATTATTGTAAAATATTCAAATTATAAAAACACAGGGATTGTGTTGGGTATAATTTATTAAGCAGTAAAAATTTGGCAAACTTACATCCTTTTGGTATAAAATGTCATGAAAAAGAGAGGGGAAAGATACCTAAGGGACATTCAAACTCGTAAGTTGAAAATAAACTGATAACGCCATGGCTAAAAAAGAAAAAAACAAATAGACAAACAACAGTACACAAACGCAACATAGAAAACTAAAGACTGAGCAACATGAACCCCACCAAAAATGGGGTGATCTCATGTGCTCCGGAAGTGTAAGCAGATCCTGCTCCACATGTGGCACCCGTGGTCTTGCTCATGTTAGTACAAACTGTGTTATAAATCTAATTCGGTAGGTCACATTCGGGGAAAGTTACATATTTGCTCTGCTATCATCCCTTACAAAACATTTTATATGTAATCGGATATACAGGAGTATTTACATATTATATTTTAGTTGTGTTCTGCATGGTCAATTGTCAATTTTTTACCAAAAAACAGTTATCTTAGACTTTATAGAAAATCATCTGAATGAAGTTTATTGACTTATTTTTTCATTTCAATAATTTTATCTTATCTCTCAGAATTTCATAATATTTTTTTTGTATTTTCAGATCAATAAATTATTGCAGAATTTTTACAGAACTTGCAGAGTCATTTTTAGAACAAATAGTTAACACACCTAATCAGGTAAGTAGTGTCATCTGTGGTTTGTACACTTAAATTGATATTACTATCTTGTGTCCCTTTTTAGGGGAGAAAACAAATCCCTGGAAATTTACAAATAGCCACTACAAACCTTTGGATAACGATAAAAGTTGAAATAATGCTGTGCTGACAGTTTTTTTAATATACCTGCGTTGCCAAATGCGAAAGTAGGTCTAGTATTAAGAGCTTGACTCCATCCATCCGAAAGACCTTTGATAGAGAACTTTTGTCAAAGTTTTCTTGGCTTCAATGTGCTGGTGTGATTTTATATTTGGTCTGCAGCTTGATAATGTTGAGTTGTACTGTGTAAGCAATTTTCAAATCTGCCTTGAAGCTACTTCCTGTTTGCCAATAGTTTGAAATTTTACATCACTCATTTTAAATTTGCACAATGATTATTATGCTAAATGAATTGTTATATTCAAACATTTTCATTCATTTGAATGGTATTTTGATCACTATCTTCTCAATGATTGTAAATTGAAACTTTTGATTATTGCAATTGAAAAACACAAAAAATATAATTTTAATAGAACAATAATAACTTTTACAATGTTTACAGAGTGAACTTCTAATAAACTATGGCTTTCAGTTAAATTGATGCAAGAGTCTTTTGGACCTTTAAAAATATTGTCCACCACTTATGAAGTATATGTACTTGAATAGCATGTAAATTTACTTTTTGGTGGCAGTATATAAATTATTGTTACGTTACTTTTTCAGGGATTCACTGGAGATTTAGGAATTTTAGATTTATTACTTACATGTGTTGGTCATCATTTATATGAGGTAAGTCAAGAAGAGTACTTAAGTTCATTGATGTTGACTTCCGGTAAGGGCTTATTTTGACCTAAAATTTGAAGTACATGTGATGGAAGATTTTTGACATTTTTTAAACACTAAAGTGTTTTCTTCATTCGATTTAATTAGTTTATGTAAAAGACTTGAACTGAATTGGACAATAAAGACGCCTAAATTCAAGCTTAAATATGAAAATCTATCAAATATGCCACAAAATGTCACTTTTCAAATGGTTTTTGTCTAAATTGGAAATGGCCCCATTCATGTTCAGTCTCAACCTTTATATATGTTATGTATCATCATCAAATACAACATATATTTAAATATTAAGACTGAACACAAGTGCGGCCACTTCCATTTCAGACAAAACCGTCTAAAAATTAGCACAAATGCTAAAATTGTGAATATTTCAGTAATTTTTCATGAATTAATGATGCTAATGCCTGATGCATGTGCAGTGTAATGTCAAAAACCAGCCCATATTTATGTAACAAAAGTATTCTTCTTTCCAATAAATAGCTGAAAGTTTACATTTTTAACAAATTTTTTAAATGCTATATTTTGGGGCCGGAAAGGCATTTGCAACTCTTCATCATTTTTTGAAGGACCTATTTTTTTTAGGAATCTTGCTTCACAGATATATTAAATGTAATAATGCGAAGTATAATTCTTAACAAAGAAGAACATAAATTTGTCAAATTAATCTCCTTGTTCAGTTGGCAACTAGCACACAGGGATAAACCTATATAGAATGGTTGTACTATATAAGACAGTTGTAAACAACTAGATAGTGCAATTAAAATATTGCTGGACATGGAAAATGTCTGTTCTGGCTTTGAAAGAACATGAGCAATACTATCTGACAGTTTTTATGCCCCCCCGTGCCGCAGAGGGCATTAAGTTTTACCCTTGTCCGTCTGTACGTCCGTACATACGTACGTCCCAATGTTGGTTTCCGTTCTCTAACTTTAGATTGCCTCAACCAAGTTTTATGAAACTTCACAATGCTTATTACCACAAAATTCAGATCAAGTTTGAATTTTGGTAGCGTCACTTTAACAGTTCTAGAGTTATGCCCCTTTACAATTGGAACAATTGCTAAATTTTTCGTTTCCATTCTCTAACTTTAGTTTGTCTTGACCAAACAGTATGAAACTTATACACAATGCTTATTACCACAAAATACAGATCAAGTTTGAATTTTGGGGGTGTCACTTTTATTATTCTAGAGTTATGCCCCTTTCCAAATGGAAAAATTGCTGAATATTTCGTTTCCGTTCTCTTACTTAAGTTTGCCTCAACCAAATGTTATGAGACTTATACACAATTGTTATTACCACGAAAACTCAGATCAAGTACAAATTTGGATAGCTTCACTTTTACTGTTCTTCGGTTATGTCCCTTTATAACTTTATATGATATGCAAGCGGGGGCATCATCTGTGTCCCATGGACACATTCCCCATTTATTTCAATTTATTATGATTTGAACATTGACTCACACTCTGCTACAAATATGAACTCTTTGAATAAGCAGGAATGTTTGCATTGTTGACATAAAGTGTGTTCTAGATAAGTCTATTTTATTAGGCACAAGAACTCATTCCATACAAAATCTTTGTCTCACTTTTCTTTACTTTCCTGTAGACACTTGTTGGGTGATTTCACTTTACATTTTGTACTTAACATGTAGTGTGTATTATGTGTGTATTTGAAATATATGCATCCATCACTGATGTCCAGTGTGATTATCTAGGTGGCAGAAATAACATTTAATGTATGGTACAGATTATCTGAAGAATTGTATCAAAGACATGAAGATCCTGCTATAGAAACATTTAAACCTTACATTCAAAGGCTTATAGTTGCAATGTGTCGGCACTGTCAGATGGATCAAGATCATGTGAGTCTTAAAGTGCAAACATGTTTTATTTTATAAATTCAGTATATCATATTAAAATCATTTTAAATCCATCTATGTTTGATAATTGTATTAAGAATGATTTGGGAAATTATTTTGATTCTGATTCTACTTCTACAGCTTGGCTGAAATTCATTTTCACTTCACTAAACATTGAAAGTTACAGCTGAAATTTCTTTATGTGAACATGTTAAAAATAATGAGACTTTTATATTTTTCTGCAAATATGTGACTATATTAGTATTGCAATACAACATACACAAATACATTTTATGTGTTGAAACTGTATGCATTTCTGAATTTAATTCAAAGGGCTTCACAAAACTAAAAACACAAGATTTTTTTAAATCTCTATGACACATCATGTACATGTATAAGAATGTTGTTCTGGTCAGATTTGACTTTTACTTGCTTGGACAACAAGGCTTTTTATGACCATGAATGCATATTTATCGTATAACAGTAGTTTTTGTGATAAGTTGATTGTTGGTTTTGAGTACTACAACAATTTATTTTATTTGTAGGATGGTATTCCAGGTGAATCTGATGATTTTGGAGAATTTAGAGTTAGGGTATCAGAATTAATTAAAGATGTCATATTTATTGTTGGTTCATCAAATTGTTTTGCACAGGTAATGTACATTCTATGTTATTGGTGACTTTGTAGAAATATATTATGCAGTATAGTAATTTTTCACTAAGAAGCATTATTCAGGGGGTAACAATTTCTGTGGATTAAGGAAATTTCTTTAGTTGAATATTTAAATAAATGTTTACCTATTAGCACAACATCCATGAAAGCTGATACCCCTCAAATACTTATAAATCCACAGTAAATTAGTCCTTGTTATGTTAAGAAAATGTCTCTTCAATCTTTTCTGTTTTGAAAATGAAGAATTGTTAGGTATTTATTCTGACAATTTCTTCTTTTTCTCTTTCAGATGTATGAAAACTTAAAGCAACAAACAGAGAGCACTTCTTGGGATGTTACAGAGGCCACATTGTTCATTATGACAGCTGTGGCAAAAAATATCTTACCGTAAGTTTTATAATTATTGTAATTGATTGGCATGACACGACCTATCGAGTGTGTGTTTTTTGGGACTTTCCTTTACTTGAGTGACTTCTAAAGGTGAAGGGGAGACATTTATTTTCGTCAGTTAAAAACAGTCCCACCTAGTTAATTTATGTTTAGCTTGATTTAATTATTTTAATGTCTTATCATTGTTAACAAATTTATCTTGAAAGGTGATTTTGATCTTAATGGTTAATGTTGATGTGGACCCTATGGCTAAAAAGGCTGTGTTTATTCCTCAAAATTCACTCTTAGCACAGACAAACCTGTGCATCTGGAATAGTTTTAAGGCATAGCATGCCCTAGATAAATAAAATTGAACATGAACCTTAAGAATAATGTGTTATAGAGTCAAAAGAAGTTCTTTCACTACTCACTAGTGGCATGCTAATTTATGCAAGGCTGTAATTGTAATTGTTTCTAACATACATTTGAAATTGTGTCTTCTTTGCCACTGAAAAAAAAAAAACACTATTTGATTCAATAATCAATTTTGCATGTATTGATAAGAAAATTTATTCATTATTTTATTTGTTACATGTGAACTCATACTTTCAGGGAAGAAAATGAAATAGTACCAGAAGTAGTGAAGGCTATTTTATCAATACCACCAACTGCACATATAGCTGTTAGATACACAAGTATACAATTGTTTGGAGAACTTTGTGAATGGATAGAAAAACATCCAGACTATTTAGGTAAATAATAGATACATGCATAATGAATTTTGATATATATTACATGTATGAATTTTAAATGATGAGTTTGGTTAGGAAAACATATCTTCCTAAAGACCATTAACTTGTGTTAGCTATCAGGCTAAAATCTGCCTAAGCACATGGGTAGTGTACCAAAGCAGGGTTTATTCAATTTGCAATACCATGTTATTTCATTGAATTTATATGTATTATTTACTATGGACAATTATCCCTGATCTATCAGTTAATATACTAAATAAGGTGTATTTGTCTTAATTTTGTATTGCTCGGTTTCAAAAATATTTAAACTGTGTTTCAGATCCAATACTACAGTTTTTATTAGCTGGTTTACAACAGCCAAAGTTAGCTTCAGCTGCTGCTACATCAGTACAGAGTATATCAACCACTTGTAAAGGAAAAATGAGGGATCACTTCCAAGGACTTATAAATATAGCACAGGCTATTGACACACTACATCTTTCTAATGAAGCTGTTATAGGTTTTCTAAAAGGTATGAAATTTTGTGTATTAATATATCGTACAGTACAGGTTTATTATGTTTTGTTCTTACGTCAAGAAAGTTGGTGCTTTAAATGTATTTTGTCATAGCAAAAACATTTGTTAATTTCATCATAAAAAAGACCATTTATCGTTATTTACACCATAAAAAGAAAACATTTGTTAATTTCATCATAACAACGACCATTTATCGTTATTTACACCATTAAAAAAAAAATTTGTTAACATAAACAGCTGTTGTTTATTTCATCATAACAAAATGTACCCCCCAAGGGTGACTGGGAATTAGAAATTTGGTCACCATTGGTGTTCCTCTGACCGGCAGTTAAACCCTCGCCAAAGTGGGGCATCCGTTCGGCTGTTCTGGATGTACAAGTTGGCAGTCACATCCTGTCAGAATGGGGACGTTAAATCAGATGCCTGTGTAAAGAGAGTGCCACGCACTTTGCACGTTAAGAACCCTTGCAACAACTCTTAAAGGGCTTTGTAAGTGGCCTGTTGCAAGGCTAAATTTCTGTCCCTATCCAATATACCATCATTTTCCCATGGCTGTCCAAATTTCCCTGACCTTCATCCTGGATGGCCTCTATTACAGTATATTGTTAATTTGTTCTCGTCCTGAACATGCATGAAATATTTGCCACTGGACATTAGCAACTAACATTCAATCAATCAATCATAACAAAATTATTGTTGATTTCATCAAAACAAAAACATAAGTCATTAACTTATTTTGCTTAACTACTTGAAATTGTCAATTTGCTGAAGTCAAAATAGTACTTCTGTCTCAAACATCTCAAGTTATCACACAAAGCAGTAGATACTGAAAGTACTCATCTTATAGCAGAAACTATTAGGTTTATGCCAATTGGTCAATTTCAGTTATAAAATTTAAAAAAACAACTCATTTTTATACGACCGCAAAAATTAAAAAATTTTTGGTCGTATATTGGTATGACGTTGGCGTCGTCGTCGTCGTCGTCGTCTGGCGTCGTCCGAAGACACATTGGTTTTCGCACTCTAACTTTAGTTTAAGTGAATAGATCTCCATGAAATTTTACTATAAGGTTCAATACCACGAAAGGAAGGTTGGGATTGTTTTTGGGGGTTATGGTACCAACAGTTAAGGAATTAGGGGCCAAAAAGGGGCCAAAAAAAAGCATTTTTGTAACTTCCAGACAATAACTTGTGTGTAAGTGTATGGATCTCTCTGACATTGTACCACAAGGTTCCATATCACAAAGGGAAGGCTGTAATTTATTTTGGGGGTAATTGCCTCAAAATTTTAGGAATTAGGGGCCAAAAAAAATGGGCAAAAAACAAGCATTTTTCTAGTTTCATGACAATAACTTGTGTGTAAGTGTTTGGATATTTCTGAAATTGTACTACAAGGTTCCATATCACAAAGGAAAAGCTGGAATTGAGTTTGGGGATAATTGCCCGAAACGTTTAGGAATTGGGGGCCAAAAAGGGGCCAAAAATAAGCATTTTTCTAGTTTCCAGACAATAACTTGTGTTCAAGTGTATGGATCTCTCTGAAATTGTACTGCAAGGTACCATACCACAAAGGGAAGGCTGGGATTGAGTTTGGGGGTGATGAATCATAAGGGGGTTCAAAAAATTGGGGGGGGGGATTTTTTTTTTTCTTTTTTTTTCTTTTCCTTTTTTTTTTCTTTTAAAATTTTCCAATTTAAGTTGGTTATTTCTGATTTATATTTAAAAGCAAATAATAATGATATGGTAGGAGATACACACCAAACAGGATGTGTAAATTATTATATGATAAGTATTGTGCAATAGCAAGAAATTTTCAATTGCACAGTATTGCACAATAGCAAGAAATCTTCAATTGCACAGTATTGCGCAATAGCAAGAAATCTTCAATTGCACAGTATTGCGCAATAGCAAGAAATATCCAATAGCACAATATTGCGCAATAGCAAGAAATTGTCAATTGTACAGTATTGCGCAATAGCAAGAAATATTCAATTGCACAGTATTGTGCAAAAGAAGATACTTTATATAAATTGCTTATTTCTTGATCAATTTCAATGGGGTTTTATTCTTGAATTCTTGGGGTTCTTTAATATGCTGAATCTAACCGTGTATTAAGTTTTTGGATTTTGGGCCCCGTTTTTAAATTGGTCCACATTGAGGTCCAAAGGGTCCAAAATTTAACTTTGTTTGATTTCATCAAAAATTGAATTATTGGGGTTCTTTGATATGCCGAATCTAACCGTGTATTTAGATTCTTAATTTTTGGTTCCATTTTCAAATTGGTCTACATAAAGGTCCAAAGGGTCCAAAATTAAACTTAGTTTGATTTTAACAAAAATTGAATTTTTAGGGTTCTTTGATATGCTGAATCTAAACATGTATTTAGATTTTTTGATTATGGGCCCAGTTTTCAAGTTGGTCCAAATCGGGGTCCAAAATTAAACTTTGTTTGATTTCAACAAAAATTGAATATATTGGGTTCTTTGATATGCTGAATCTAACCATGTATTTAGATTTTTGATTTTTGGGCCCCGTTATCAACTTTGTCCACATTGAGATCAAAAGGGTCCAAAATTAAACTTTGTTTGATTTCATCAAAAATTGAATTCTTGGGGTTCTTTGATATGCTGAATCTAACCATGTATTTAGATTTTGGATATTGGACCATAATAGGTGAATGTCCAATTTAAAATTTTTAAGTTCTTAGACCACATTCATTCTGTGTCAGAAACCTATGCTGTGTCAAATATTTAATCACAATCCAAATTCAGAGCTGTATCAAGCTTGAATGTTGTGTCCATACTTGCCCCAACTGTTCAGGGTTCGACCTCTGCGGTCGTATCAAGCTGCGCCCTGCGGAGCATTTTATTAGATGTTAGTTAATGATCAATTTTGATCAGATGAAACCGCTTGTTTTTTGTTATTTGACTTTTAAGATATACATACGTTCCACTTACCAACCTTCGAAACAATACCTGTCATGTCTTTTTATAACTCTTGATAAAATTTAAGTAGTATTGTCCACTCGCTAGAAAAGTAACAAAAAAGATTTTATGTTAGAGAAGTAGAGACATTTTAGTGTGTACTGTCTTCCATATCAGAATGTGTAAACAAATAGCTTCAAATTTAGATTAAAAAAAAGAGAAAATATAGACTCAATACTTTTCTCATATGATATGACAGCGCATTCTGTATAAAATGTAAATATAAACCACAGTTATAATCCAGTTCTACATCTGGTATTCTTATTTCCATGAATACCTTATTTCGCTTGTAGCCATTACTAGCTAACTTTGCTGTGATTTCTTTTGTAATTTTTTATTTTCTTTGGTGTATTTCTATAAAGGAAGACCATGTTTTACATATTTGTGACGATTTATATTTAAGTTATTTTTCTATTGGAAAAATATTTGAAAATTTATTTGTTTTTAGTATGATGATCAAAGCATGTGATTACAAAGAGCTATTAAAAATTTTAACTTATAATTTCAGGAAGGATGGAAGTTATGTTTTATGTTTACTCAAATATTTGTATCAGATTTTCTTTTCTGATCTGTTGCAGGTACTTCAGTGATATTAACACAGTTACCATCGGAGAAAATAGGAGAGGCTTTAACACAATTATGTTCATTTCAAATTACGCCTTTGAATTCAGTAAGTTATCTTTACAAAGGAACTATGACATATAATGTATAAAATATCATGGTTTTTAACAACTGCAAAATTTTGGCGGTTGTATAATGTAAAGACTTTGCCAGCATCGTTGTCATCATCATTGTCCAAAGACATTTGGTTTCCAGACAATAACTTGAGTATAAGTGTATGGATCTCTATGGAATTGTATCACAAGGTTCCATACCACAAAAGGAAGGTTGGGATTAATTTTGGGGGTCATTGTTCTTACTGCTTAGGAATTAGGACCAAGAAAGGTGCAAAAACGAGCATTTTTCTTGTTTTTGGACAATAACTTGTGTATGAGTGTATGGATCTCTATGAAATTGTCCCACAAGGATCCATACCTCAAAAGGAAGGTTGGGATTGATTTTGGGGGTAATGGCCCAAACCATTACGGAATTAAAGGCCAAAGAACTAGGATTTTCATGTTATTGACAATAACTTGAGTATAAGTCTATGGATCTCTATGAAATTGAATCACACGGTCCCATATCATTAAAGGAAGGTTGGGATTGATTTTAGGGGTTAAGGAACTAACTGTTTGGGAAAAAGGGGACAAATACAATAATTGTCTAATACTTTGTATACATTGCTTATTTCTTGACCAGTTTCAATTGGGTTTAATTCAAAGTCTTGACTATGCTGAATTTAGATTTTTGATTTTAGGCCCTGTTTTTAAATTGGTCCACATTGAGGTCCAAAGGGTCCAAAATTAAACTTAGTTTGATTTTAACAAAAATTGATTCAAAGTGTTTTTTGAGATGCTGAATCTAAACATGTACTTTTGATTTTGGGTCTAGTTTTCAAGTAAGTCCAAATGGGGGTCCAAAATTAAACTTTATTTGATTTCAACAAACCTCTGCGGTTGTATCAAGCTGCACCCCACAGAGTAGTTTATTTTTATATTGAATACTGTGAAAATCACTGCCTGCATTTTTTTGTCAGTTTGTGGTAAAAAAAACTGATATTTTGTATATTCTAACTAATTTCATTTGTTCAGAAAGAGTTTACATGTTCAACTGTATCTTCAAAGGTAGACTGAAAATGTCAGATTTCTCCAGTTAGATTTGATTTTTCAAAAGGATGCCACAAACGTGAATTTATTTTCTTTTGAATTTTAATGACAAAAATTAGCAATGAGAAAGTCCAAAGAACAAGATTTATTTGTGGCCCTGATTAACACCTAGCAAAATGTTGAAGTCTGAAATTATGATAAATGTTAATTCTCTGAAATATTTACAGGTAACTTGAATGTTAGGCAGTAGCTGAAATTGAAAGGATGGAAAGTCAATTATTTTTACCATAACATATCTTATTTGACTCAAAGCAATGAATCATATTGAAGATGGTTGTATAATGTTAGACATATCTGTTTCAGCTTTTGACAAAAGCAGAGGATCAGAAATTACCAAACCACATCCCTCATGGTAGTAAAGAAGATCCTACAGTATGGTTAGACAGATTATCTGCTATATTTAGGTAGGTAAAGGTAATAATTGTCTCTGTATCTATAATGAAGAATATAAGTATGGGTATTTTTTTCCTCTTCATTACCTGTACTTGTGAAACTTACAAAAAAGAATTGACATGCTTATAATGCAAACTGAATTTTAAATTCTGTATACAAATAATATATGTATATATATTTTTATTTATATCTCTATTTTGAATATTCACTAATCAGAATTATCTAAACTCAACATTAAAAGGAAATTTTGTTGATTTTTCAAGGCACACCACACCAGTAATAACCAATGGTCAGGTCCATCCATGTCAGACTGCTGTTCAACAGGTAGGTTATTCTATCTTTCTCGTATATGCTTTATATGAGAATCTCACTGACAACTTTAGCACAGTATTAGGGAATAACTATGAATTGATCAGATGATTTTTGTCGAGCCTTGAGTCTGCAACATTTATGTCGCAAAAGCAAGACTTAGCGATCCTAGATTCAGTCGTCAGTGGCGTCAACATTTAGTTTCAGTCTATGGTTGAAGTTTTTTTAGACATCAATAACTTTGTCAAACCTTCACGGAATTTGATGAAATTTAGACAGAAGCTTGTTTATGACCAAAAGACAGTATCCAGAGTAAAATTTTAAAAATATTTATTTTCATTTTCCTGTATTTTACTGATAAATGGACTTATTTTTTTTGTCGAGCCTGTGACTTCTGTTGCAGAAAGCTCGAAATAGGGATAGTGATCCGGCGTTAACAAACTTCTTAAAAGCTTAATATTTCAGAAGGTAGAAGACCTGTATCCTTTATACTTTGTATATAGATGCCTTATGTTATGAAGTTTCCGTGTGTCATATGTCCATTGTCCTTGACCTCATTTCCATGGTTTTGTTTTTTGGTCTGTTTTTCTAATACTATAAGCAATAGGTCAACTATATTTGGTGTATGGAATGATTGTAAGGTGTATATGTCTGTCTGGCAATTGTCATCTGACCATGACCTCATTTTCATGGTTCATTGGTCAATCTTAAGTTTTCCTGGTTAAGTTGGTTTCTTAGATACTATATGCAATAGCTCAACTGTATTTAAAGCATGTAATGACTGTAAGGTGTACATGTCTGTCTGGCAGGGTTCATCTGACCTTGACCTCAATTTCATGGTTCATTGATCAATGTTAAATTTTCCTGGTTAAGTTTGTTTCTTAGATACTATGTGCAATAGGTCAACTATATTTAAAGCTTTTGGTGAATGGAATGATTGTAAGGTGTCCATGTATTTCCAGTTTGGTTTATCTGACCTTGACCTCATTTTCTTGGATCATGTTAAGTTTATGTGATAGTTGTAGTAAAGCTTTATATTTAGGACTATCAACATAAAATCAATGGTCAATAAAGAAGGCGAGACATTTGAGCATGTGCACTCTTGTTACAATTAACATTCAGGCTCAGTCTGAGGTTAAAGTTTTTCAGTCAACAATAACTTTGTCAAACCTGCATGGAATTTGAAGAAATTAGTACAGAAGTTTGATAATGACAAAAATTTTAAAAATATTTTTTTTTTCATTTTTCCATATTTTACTGATAAATGGACTCACCTTTTAAGTCAACATTACACTTTTACACTTTCAGCAGCAATTGCAGTCGAGACGCAGGGTTCTGTGGAAACCTTTACAAATTTTTTAAGATGGTGCTGTTGCTGTCTCTTACATACTATAAATCCATGAATTATTGCAATGTGCAAAAAATGTGATAGTATCAAGTTGGCAATAATAAAAACTTGTATTCATAATTTCAGCACTGATTTTCCTTCACAAAATTTTACTACTTTATTCATTAAATCTCACATTTTTACCAGTGATCAGTGATTTGAAATTATAAATTAATTTCTGAATTTACAGTAATAAAAGCATATTTTTCCTTAAGTTTTGATTCGAGACCCACTGATGAATCTTCTGTAGATGAACATTACATCTGGTGCACTAAATTATGAGCCTGATATCCTTGATGAGTTTTTACATTTTTTATGGTTCCTTGTAGCAACTTCATAAAAAAACAGAATCTATACATATGAGTTATCCTTTACACAAAGCATGGTCATTATGCAGATTGTTCATAGTCTTATAATGTTCAAATTTTTTTTAGACTGTTTTCAATCTAGGTAGTTTGGAAATTGTAAAATTCTAAAGAAATACAAATTATAAACATTAAATTATTTAAATAAGAAATAGGTTTAAAGTTTGCAATTCAGAAATCCTGAACAAAAATGAAATATTTTTTTGCCAGTTTATGAATTTGTGCATTTCCTGATTTTATATTTGGTTCATTTTTTAGATATGGCCAGTATTATCAGAAACCTGTTCTAAGTTCCAGTCAGACATACGAATTGTAGAAAGAACTTGTCGCTGTATCAGATTTGTAATACGATGTTTAGGAAAAAGTTCTGCATCATTACTCACACCACTAGTCACACAGGTATGTAAAATTAGAACATTCAGTTTACACTGCTCAATTGTTAAAGGGAGAAGGACTATACAAGTTTCAAATGTTAAGTGAGAATATTATGTTTATGTTTGGTTCCGCTCTGATGATTTGTTCCAAAATTACAGGCTTTTGACTTTGAAAATTTCTTGACAAGTTATACAGACTTTCATTCTCAAATTTCCACTCCCAAAAATAATTCAAGCTTTTATTGTGAGAGTGGCCATGTATGTCCTTAGGATACATCTAGTTTTTGGCTGAACCTGTGTTAATAATCTATAGAAAATAATTTTATATGGTGTTACATTGGAATTTTTTTTTTATATTTGTATTTTACACAATAATTTACCGTGACAATATTTAAGTGGCTTAATGGGCTGTCCTCTTCATTTATATTCAAAAGACTGAAATATAAGAAACTTTGATTTCTTCAGCCCTTCATTTGCATATATATGTCTTTAATAAATCAAATACATATAAGAGGGTAGGAATGCCCTTTACCGTCAGGCGTCAAATGGTCTTTTTCGGATACCGTTAGCGTCAAATTGGTTAAAATTTTACCGTGATTCATCAGATGTCTCAAATAACTATCGTTACCGCTATTTTTGGAAAAACAGTTAACATGATTCGTCAAAATCAGTCGATTTTTTTTATCTTCTAAAAGAAAGTGTACATTTTATCGTCATGCACCAAAAATTACCGTTAATGTCATTTGGCAAGAATTTTTACTGTTATTCGTCATGAAGGTACCCCCATTACGACCCTCATATAACAACTTAATTAAAAGTATTTTGTATTTGATTTGATTAACTAATTATCTCTGTTTTATTTCAGATGATTTCATTATACCAAGTCCATCAACATTCATGTTTCCTGTACCTAGGTAGTATATTGGTAGATGAATATGGTCAAGAGCAGTCATGTCAACCTGGTCTTTTGAATATGTTACAGGTAAGCAAACAATGAAGACTGTTTTTCATAGATTGTGATACTAAGTGATAGATGAGGAAGTTTTTTTTAATTATAAACTCTACTTGAATTAAGAACCAAAATTAACAGATGTTATTGTGAAGTCAGTAGTTAAACATAAAATAAGGCAGATCAATAAACCAAAAATATTTTGATGATTGCTTCTGAGAAAGTATTTAATTATAAATTCTGCTTGAATTAAGAACCAAAATTCACATATTTTACTGTGTAGTCAAGTTAAACTTGAAATAAGACAAATAAAATTTACGAAAATATTTTGATGATTGCTTGTGTTACTGTGAAATGTGATTTACAGTAGAAAAGGGGCTACGCCAACACCAATTGACTGTTATAAGATTGACGCTCCATATTTTATTCACAGTGTTACAAATTTATTTCAGGCTTTCTGTGTCCCAACATTTAAAATATTAGAAGAACACAATGGTTTACGGAATCACCCAGATACTGTAGATGATTTATTTAGATTATGTTTAAGGTATTTTAATTTTAGAAAATAAGCATAGATTTTAATGGTATTAAAAAAATTATTGAAATTATGAGAATCATGATAATTTATATGTGATTTAAGTTGAATTTAAGGTTATTTCACATATAGTAGTTTATCTAGACTTACACAACCAGGATTTCATTTTTCAATGAACTGTTTACAGCAATTTACAGAATTATTGGTTCACCAAACAAAAAAGGAAACTTAAATTCATGTCCTAACAATGAATTTGAATAGTTAACCTGTACAAATAGATGGAATCTTCTTGTTATCTAGAACAATTGATATGTCAATATAATGTCAATATTTAAAAGTATCAAGAATACATAATAATCTGTTTCTAAACCCCTCTCTGTGAACAAATGTTATTCCATTACAGATTTGTGCAGAGGGCTCCAGTCCCTTATCTCCAGTGTCAGATGGCCAAACCTATCCTATGTTGTGCTATAGCAGCTTGCCCATTAGATCATAGAGATGCAAATGCTTCAGTGATGAAATATCTGACAGATTTCTTAGCATGTGCTACAAAGAAAGAGGTATTTAACAATAAAAGACCAGCTAATCATTTCTGATAAATAGTAATCTTGTATCTATTGCAGTTTTCATTTTATTGGTTGACTTGAGTCTAGCGGCCTGAGAGCATCCAGCATAAGGATTATTTCTGTCATCTGTGACAGCCACATTGCACTTTGTTCATCCCCAACTCCTAAAAAAGGGCTTCACAGATTCAACCAAACTTGCAGATTCTTCTACAAGAGTTAAAGCTGTGCACCTGGTATCTTAATTTTTTATCAGTGTGATATTTAATGTTTCTCATACCAAAACATGGACTCAGCCATTACTGCTTACATTAGTTGTTTAAAATCTGCAACTCCTTGAAAACAGCACGACAGATTTCAGCCAAACTTGTGGACAAGACATGAAGTTGTACACCTATCTGTGTGATTTTTGGGGTTTCTCATTCCAAAACATGGATATAGCCATTTATGCTTATATTATTTGGAAGACCCAACCATTTTATAATACAAATGCTTTAAAGGTTTTCTATCCCTAAATATGCATGAAATGTCTGCCATTCAGACCTTCAGCATACAACAGTCAATTGTTAACTTGTTTTGAAAATGTACTCTAGCACACAATAGTTTATCAAAAGATGGACAAAATCTGTAAAGTCCAATTAAATTTCATGATAATCTTTCTAACTTAAAATTAAAGTTTGAAAATCTTGTAAGGATATAAGGTAAAATCCCTTTTACGTAATAAATATTGGATGTCATTGGATTTTAAGTGTATCAAAGTAAAATTTAGAAATTTTACCATGTTTTTGGAATCAAATGTTTTTTAGGAGAAACCAGACTTTGAAGTACGGAAGAACTTGGTGAAAGGACTATTACAAGAACATGGGTCACAGTTAGTTCATGCCTTAATCAATGCTTGTCTGTTTTGTTTACCTACATTTATGTCAGCTGATATTGGAGAAGTTTTATATGAACTAATGATAGTAGATAGACCGGTAGGTTGATATGTATTGAAAACATTTAACAAGAACCAAGTGTACCAACAAGATTAGTTAGTAATAGTAAAATACAAATATATTGTATATACTATACTCTATAGTGTCAGTTGTTAGAATAATGTAATTAATGATCATTTGCATTAAAGCCCTAAACTTCTGTCATCATAATTGTTACCATAATTGGCTGTGTATAATCTACTGGTATATTGTCCGTGATCCCTTTTTTGCCACAGGGAATATTTGGAAAAAACAATTTTGTCACTTGTTCAAACTGTCTTGTGAAACTATGGTAATTTCAAATCAATTGTTATCCTTTGCGGTATTTTCACTGAAAAACCCAGTTTGCATCATCAAGTGGAAGTTGAAAATGATTCTATAAGACTTCACGAGTGATAGAATAAAACAAAATCACAAAAAAACAATTGGAAAAGTTGTGTTTGTCATGACTGTGAATTCATTTATTTTTCGTTGGTACCAATTTTCTTGGATATATGAATACATTGTTTTACTAAAGTCTGCATACAAGCCTATAGAAAATTTGATAATTGAGGATCATTTTTGGGAGGCAGACTTCCATTCTTCCTTTTCATGGATGTGGCAGGTATGATAGTTTCTTCATCAAGTTTCTTTCAGTGTGGATACATGATTTCATTCACCCAAAAATATTTCTTCAATGAAGAAACATGAATATATTGCTAAATATTCAGTCAAGTAATTTGAGGATTGTTGTAATGCAGATACCTAATAAATTACTTTTGTGAATTTAAATTATATGTATGAAGTCATTGCTAGTGTTTAAGTGTGTTGAATGCAATGCTTTGCAAGACCATGTTGGCATTGTAGAGCAATAAAATAAGTCATTATTGAATTAATTTCATGTTTAATTGTATTTTTAGACATTTTGTCGATGGTTAGAAACAACTTTGAAGTCTTTACCTACAGAAAGTTCAGGAGGTGTGGTGACAGCCACACATAAACAGCTCACAGACTTCCATAAAGCTGTCACTAGGTAGGTCATGGTTACAGAGTTACAACAGAAAAAGTAGCACAGCACATCCATACATGATATTTAAGTAGTTTATTGAAAAAAATACAAAAATTAAAGTTTGTAACAAAATCATCATTTCATTTATTAACATAATTATAACATACCATACCATACCATAGACATATAAGATAAGGAGCTGCGCCATAACACATGATAAAGTTCCATAACTCCTGAATTTCATATCAGAAATATATAAAAAAAAAAACTAAAGGGAGCTTATTTTAATATATAAAAACTAGTCACCAAAGTTTCATGAAAACTGCTCAAAGCATTTTTGAGTTATTCAAATATAGTCCGAAAACTGGAAAATCCCCCCTTTTGTATGAATAATGTCCCATTGCTCAGAAATGTAAAATCAGAAATTTTAAAAAATCAAACGGGAACTTATGACAATATATATAAACAATTCACCAAAGTTTCAAGAAAATTGTTTAAAGCATTTTTGAGTTATAGTCAGAAAGCTGGAATATCCCCAATTTTTTATGAATAAAATCCCATAATTCGGAAATGTAATATCTAAATTTATAAAAATCGCAAGGGAGCTTACATCAACAGGTATAAACAATTCACCAAAGTTTCATGAATATTGGTTCAAGCATTTTGAGTTCTTGTCCGACATGATGATGATGGACGGACAGACGGATGGACAATGGTATACCATCATACGTCCCGTAAATGGGCATATAAAAAAGGGAAACAGTTATTTCAAAACTCAGATATTTGTACAAGATTCGTTCAGATTATAAGAACATGAGAAATATAAGCCTGTCAAGTTGTTTTGATAGAGCTGTTTATCTTTTCTAATCAACCAATTGATTGTAGTTGCCTTCAAAGTCCTGTTATGCTTTAATAGATGGTTAGCTATTAAAAGAGATGTGCAAAATTAGACAAAGGCTATGACTTTTCAAAACAAAAAGTTTTAATGAAGATATTGTCTTCATAAAATCAACTAAAAGAAAAGGAAATTCTGGGTACCTAATAAAGTACTAATATAGAAATAAGGAGATGTGGTATGATTGCTAATGAGACAACCATCCACCCAAGTTCAAATGAGGTAGATGTAAGTAATTAAAGGCAACTGTACGGCCTTCAACATTGAGAAAAACCCATACCGTATAGTTGGCTATAAAAGGCTTCGACACGAAAAATATGAAACAATTCAATTCAGAAAACTAACAGCCTAATTTATAACAAAACAATTATCTCTGTTTATCAAGACAGTAGCTTTAAAGTCTTACAACAACAATCAGGGTAAATGTACTGTAAACCTAAAATCTTAAAAAAAATGTCTTGTAAGTAGTCATTTTGATTCAGTACATCAGGCTTTCAAAGGCTTTTGAGAAACAAATGAACATTTGAAACTTGATGCATAACATTAAACAATTATTATTTCAGACTAGTTAAAAATATAATAAATATATGATTATGAAAAAAAGAGTTTGTTTCTACAATTTCTTTTTCAGTGCTGAGAACTATAAACAAGTTTCAACAGCTTTAAGAGAATTTTCAAGACTTTACAGATGATAGCTGTTTTACCTCATAACAACTCTTACATGTGCAATCAAATGAAGGCTTCTTTGTGACAGAACATTTTCTTAGCCTTACCATCTAATTTTCTACTTGATGTAGTGTTGGGATCTTGCTCAACAGTAGTGGATGCTGTAGTGGTCCAGAATTCTAACAGGATTTTAATAACATTCAATTAGTTTGCGGTTGAAAGGTAGAAAATCTAAATTATGTGAGTCAGTTGGAGTGGCTTCTGTTAGAACAGTTCGGGAAAAATATTGACTCTAATTAGATAGGAAGTAGCTTGATTGTAAACATTATTTTGAGAGAGTATTGACTTGTAAAACTGTGTAAGTGCTTCCAATTCTGTTTGTGCATCTACAAGTGGCTTACCTCTTGGTGTTGCATGGTGCAGTCCATATTTGAAGTTTTGTATGAATCTCATTGTGATGACAGAACTAGATGAACTGGTTGTAAAATGATAGTTAGTGATATACTATGTATCAAAATATTATAAGATCATGAATAGTTAATTGGACATCAGTTATCTGTTTTTAATCATACTTGTATAGTGCTGTTTAATTCTAAGAGATATTACAAGTTATTTAGCCTTTCTTTAATTTTTATTTGAAAATAAGATGAAATTCACGTTATTTTCAACTTTGATTAAATGTTGAAGCTACATTGTAGCTTATTTTCAAAAAAAAACTTTGCCTTGGATAAGGTTATGAATTTCACAATTGATATGGTTATGACATTGTTTATTAATGCATATTTAAAAGTTATACCACTACATATTTGCATACTCTTTTATTACTCAACTGATTGATTTAAAGGGGAAGGATTGAGTATCCAAAAACAAGTTAACTAGTGAAAAGTTCAGGGGCCCAAAAATTGCCTTTTTGATGGATTGCTGCTTTCTTGGGAAAGTCTTGGATAATTGTTTTGTTAAATTCGATTTGTTTACACTGATGCTAAGAAGTTGTTATTTTGTGAATACTAAGGTTAATTGAAAGTTCATATATTTGATAATACTATGAACGTGGTAAGAAGAGGTCTAATTTTTTATTTCATTTAAGATAATTTTTTATTATCCTTTGCTTTTGAATGTTATTTATATGGAAAAGGTAATCTTAAAAAATTCTCAATAGCATAAATGGTATGGAGAGATGTTTTCTTTTTTGCTATTTCATGATGTTGCTGAAGCTTATATTGCTTGTACATATGTGCTTTAAGCAATATTTATCTTTCTTAAAATTGTTCAATAGGTTATATTGCGTGTACATAAGAGCTTGAAGCAATATTTATCTTTCTTAAAATTGATCAATAGGTTATATTGGGTGTACATAAGAGCTTGAAGCAATATTTATCTTTCTTCAAATTATTCAATAGGATTTAACAACATATCTTCATCTCATGTGTCATGTGTGTAAAGCACCTATTTATTAACATTGTATACCAACATTTTGAAATATTAATGAATATTCAACGTCTAGTTGAAAGAAAATATTAATGAATATTCAACATCTAATTGACAGAAAATATTAATGAATATTCAACATCTAATTGACAGTATGTCATATAATGCAGTAGAATTGCACAGAATCACAGTTCCTGTTTATTGTTATTGTCATTATGCATAGTTTTGAAAAGGATAAACCATGTTTTACAGAATCAGTGTAATAATTTCAAAACCAGAGGTTGAGATAGCTATCAGTATGTACTGTTGATATCTATTGTGTTATAGAAAATAGGACATTGCAGATTTTTATTAAATTAATTTTATTGCATGCAGAAATTTTAATCAACAGTTACTTATTAAGCTGTCATAATTTTTAAGGATGATTGATTTAAAACCTTTCCAAATTTGTTTGGATTTTTTGTAAGATTAAGGACTGGAATGGAAACACAATAAAATCATGTTATAATATCAATTAAACACAATACAATTATGTGAGCATAACTTAGAATCAAAATAAAATTATATGATCATATTGATGAAACTTTTTATAAAATCATGATTGTAATGATGAAACACAGTAAATCTTGATCATATTGACGAAACACAATAAAATCATCTTAACAATTAGACCAAACACATTAAAGTGAGTGGTCATATTGACAAATATCGTGATTATAATGATGAAACACAATGAACTCATAATAATTTTGACGAAACGTATTAATATTATGCGATCATATTGACAAATCAAAATAAAATTATATGATCATATTGATGAAACTTATTATAAAATCGTGATTATATTGATGAAATTCAATAAAATCTTGATCATATTGACGAAACACAATAAAATTGTAAACATTAACGAAACACAATATAATCATGAGCAATTTGACCAAACATATTAAAATAATGTGTTTATATATTTACAAATCAAAATAAAATAGTGATTATAATGATATAATTGACGAAACACATTAAAGTCATGTGATCATATTGACGAAACACAATAAAATCATGTGATAATATTGATAAAACACAATAAAATTATTTAATCATATTGTCACAATAACACTATTTGATTTTGATTATATTGATAAGTTATACTAAGTATATATTATAGAGTTGACATAGTAATTACTTTTCACATGTTTCAGAAAAGGTTGTTGATATGCAGACAAATTAAAATATGGGAGATAACTCTTGAGGTATTAGGATTAGAGTTGAGAATTTATATTTGTTTTAAAAAAATTCAAAAAATCCCATATTTTGTAATTTAATGTCTCAGCTTTCAGATATCTTACAAACAAAAAATTACTTGAAATCAAGGTTACAGTAATGAATGAAAGATTGTTTTTTTTTGTTAAAATGTGTTTTTTCATTAAAAAAAAATGGTAACCTTGAAATAAATAATAATCCAAAAATAATATTAAAGTGAGTCTGGATACCCAATAGAAATTTTGTTTATCTTGACTTGCTTGGGATGAAAAATAGTGATCCATACTTCACATTGTTTGAAAATTTTGCTTATAGTTGACCTCTGTCTTAAGACTTATGATTAGTTTGATAATACAGAACTTTTCATGACACCACTTGGTCATAAGTTCACATCAGAATTTAAATGATTTTTATAAAATGAAAGAGTAAAGTTAAAAACATATTCTAAATTTCAGTTTAATATAGTCCAATCTAATTAAAATTAAATCTTTTAATGACTCCCCTTCTGATATTTTGTGCATCAAGAACAGGAGCAATTTAAGGATTTCAGTCCTAATTAAGATCGATGATACCATTTTTCCCCCTGATTATCTGTTTTAGTTTTTTATAGAATATTTATACATTTTGTTATAAATAGAAATCTGAAAGAAAGAAAATTACCTCATAAAAACACTAAGTATTAAGTTATAAGAAAACACTTTACATTTCTAAATTAATTTGTCTTTGTCCTTTGATTAGAATGTACTTTAGAATGAACCTAATTTCTAGAAAATGTTTTACACAAGATCAAAGGTAGACTTAATGACAATTGTACTATTGGTGCTTGTATTTTAAATGTTGCTATATACTGTATGACTATGTACAATATAAAATTGGTCAATGAAAGCGATATGTGTAACCAAACGTGTTCATTTATTTAATTGTTATTTTCATTGCTATTAACTGCTTTGTTGTTAGAAATACACCAGTTTTAGAAATACACCAGTTTTTTTCTATTCACATGTTTATGGTAACATTTATGTTGCATGTTAGAATTATTTAATTTTAGTCATTAGATGACATCCTATGTTGTAGCATGAATGTGTTTGTATCCATTAAATGATGTGTATTTAGTTTATAACAAAGGTGTTCGTTTGTATTTTTCATGGTTCTTTATGAATTTGATATTTATATTTAATTGGTTAAAGCAGAACAAATAAAGATTTTATAAACCAGATACAACATTGCAAGTTAAAAGATTATTAAAAAAACCCAATCGTATCAATGAGGAGATTGAACCAATAAGTAGATATACCTCCAAAATTATTTTGTGTATGAATTAATTATTGAAAATGACCTGAGATGAAATTTCAATCAACATATATTAAATACAGTAGATTATTTTTTTTAGCATGTCAAGTATTTAAGGCTGATCATAGGGTTGTCAAAAGTTTATTGAACTTGCTAAAACTACAATGACATTTCATATTGAAGGGTTTTCCAATTTTGAAAGAAAAGCAAATCTATAATAAGAAAATTAATTTTTTTATTTACTAAAAAAATCATTACAAACGACAGTGAACCAACACTTGGTAAAAATCATTGATCTTAGGAAGCACTTCATTGACATTTGATGACAGATGATAAATATTATATATGGAACAACTAAACCATTTTGCAGAACAAGTTTCAACATCCTTTGTATCATTATGAAAATGCTATAATTGTTGTTGGCACGAGTATAACTTAATCAATCTATTTAAAAAAAGATGAGAATTCCATAAAATGTATTAAAAATTTATAATGCAGTTGCTGAACAATACTTGTTTACAAACATGATTTAAAATAAACACCATGAGTATGTTGAAAAAAAATTTGGAAAAGTCAAAACAATTAACTTCACTTGAATTTCATGGATAATGACTTAAATGCATCAAAGCATAGGAATCCTCATGGTTGGATAAAATACTGTTTTATTTTTATAATGTGTGTAGTTATGAGTGAATTGCACGTGTATGTATGCTTTGTTAAATGCACTGAGAATGTGCTTAATTGTATTAATATGCAAAATTGTAATATATATTGCTTTTATACATGTGTAAATATGTACATCACTATTTTATTGGAATGTTCAGATTTGTAATGAACAACAAAAAAAAAAGTCTCAAATTGGCATTACATGGGGGGATTGATAAAAAAGAAATAAATGGATTTGACTCATCAGATATTCTTTTTGTTATCTAGAACCGAAAACAAAACAAAAATAAATCCTAATATTCATATTTACCTGGTCATTTATATGGATCTTGTATGAATCGGTTTGTCTAATATGAGCAAGTCCTACATTTGAAACCATTCATATGTTAAACAGTTTTCTTGCTAGTGAAAATACTAATTTAATTTTACCAATATATTTAGTTGAATCTTGACAGGTTGAAGTCAAAGGGATCCAACAAAACGATTTGACTTAGAAAAAGTTCAAGTCATATAAGGTTGTTAGGAGTTACATCATGTTTAAGAACCACTTCAGAATGGTTAATTCAGGTGAAACCAAATACAAAAGAAATTTTCTTTATGTGGTACTTACCGATTTTTTTAAACTTTGTGTTGACCCTTCCGGTCGTATATTGGTATGACGTTGGCGTCATTGTCGTCGTCTGTCATTGTCGTCGTCCGAAGACACATTGGTTTTCGCACTCTAACTTTAGTTTAAGTGAATGGATATCTATGAAATTTTACCATAAGGTTCAATACCACAAAAGGAAGGTTGGGATTGATTTTGGGGGTTATGGTACCAACAGTTAGGGAATTAGGGGCAAAAAAGGGGCCAAAAATAAGCATTTTTGTAACTTCCAGACATAACTGTGTTAGTGTATGGATCTCTCTGACATTGTACCACAAGGTTCCATATCACAAAGGGAATGCTGGGATTGATTTTGGGGGTAATTGCCTCAAAATTTTAGGAATTAGGGGCCAAAAAGGGGCAAAAAACAAGCATTTTTCTAGTTTCAGGACAATAACTTGTGTATAAGTGTATGGTTCTTTATGAAATTGTACTACAAGGTTCCATATCACAAAGGAAAAGCTGGAATTGAGTTTTGGGGAAATTGCTAAAAAAGGTTTAGGAATAAGGGGCCAAAAATAAACATTTTTTTAGTTCCCAGACAATAACTTGTGTTCAAGTGTACGGATCTCTCTGAAATTGTACCACAAGGTACCATACCACAAAGGGAAGGCTGGGATTGATTTTGGGGGTAGTTACCTCAAAATTTTAGGAATTAGGGGCCAAAAAGGGGCAAAAAACAAGCATTTTTCTAGTTTCAGGACAATAACTTGTGTATAAGTGTATGGATCTTTATGAAATTGTACTACAAGGTTCCATGTCACAAAGGGAAAGCTGGGTTTGAGTTTGGGGGTAATTGCCCCAAACGTTTAGGAATTTGGGGCCAAAAAGGGGCCAAAAAACAAGCATTTTTCTAGTTTCCAGACAATACCTTGTGTTCAAGTGTATGGATCTCTCTGAAATTGTACTGCAAGGTACCATACCACAAAGGGAAGGCTGGTATTGAGTTTGGGGGTGATGAATCATAAGGGGGTTAAAAAAATTGGGGGAGGGGATTTTTTTTTCCTTTTTTTTTCTTTAAAATTTTCCATTTTAAATTGGCTATTTCTGATTTATATATAAAAGCAAATAATAATGATATGGTTTGAATAGGTGAATTAAAATTTTTTAAGTTCTTAGACCACATTCATTCTGTGTCAGAAACCTATGCTGTGTCAAATATTTAATCACAATCCAAATTCAGTGCTGTATCAAGCTTAAATGTTGTGTTCAAACTTGCCCCAACTGTTCAGGGTTCGGCCTCTGCGGTCGTATCAAGCTGCGACCAGCGGAGCATTTTTATTTCAGGAACTACTAAAAAGAATGCCTTTATATTCGGTAAACAGCTGGACAGCGAGCAGTATGATGTAATGTGTGAGTACATTTTGAGTATATCAGACACCAACTTCCTGTTTGCCTATACTTTAAATTTTTCAATATGTTGAATGAACTTGAAAATTTTCATCAGACTTTTCCCCAAGTACTTCTTAACAGAAGTAATTCATATTTAGTCAGCAGCTAGGCAGTGATGAGTTGTAAGGTGTGAACACTTTAAGGATATGTCAGACACCCACTTCCTATTTCAGATACTTTGAATTAAGAGTGAAGGTATATTTAGCATGACAACATGTGCAATCTTATTGTAAATATCTCAAGCACCATGTATCGGGATGAATGCAAATTCAGTTAAACGAAATGGAACCCCTTAACAGTTTGGGTCTGAATATTCTGTTTACTAGTCTTTAAGGTTCATTGTAGATCAACCCATGTCATTTGGCCTGTTGGGAAGTTGTCTCATTGGCAATCATACCACATTTCCATATTTTATAACAGTTTAGACAGCTTGATATTGATCCTGGTTTCTTTATATATTTTGTGTCGACTTAATTCATCAGTGTCATATATACGTATCATCATGGCTCCTTTTAAGTTTCATTGATTCTCCGACACCCGGAGATTGAGACGGTCTACGGTTTCATCTCAGCAATATAGATATGAATAAAAAAATGTTTCGGTTATACCTCAGAGAGACAGCAACCTAGTAACATTAATGATAGCATCACAGGTGCTGTGATCTAGCCAATATTAATCATAGCATCACAGGTGCTGTGATCTAGCCAATATTAATCATAGCATCACAGGTGCTGTGATCTAGCCAATATTAATCATAGCATCACAGGTGCTGTGATCTAGCCAATACTTTTGCTAGTCAGAACATTCTTTTAGCATTTCAATTTTAGAAGGTTCCATGATTTTTATGCCCCCGCCGTAGCAGTGGTTGCATTAAATTTCTCCCTTGTCTGTCTGTACGTCTGTCCGTACTTCCCAAAGTTGGTTTCCATTCTCTAACTTTATTTTGCCTCAACCAAATGTTATGAAACTTATACACAATGCTTATTTCACAAAATAAAGATCAAGTTTGGTTTTTGGTGGTGTCACTTTTACTGTTCTAGAGTTATGCCCCTTTACAAAAGGAAAAATTGCTGAATTTTTCGTTTCCGTTCTCTAACTTAAGTTTGCCTCAACCAAATGTTATGAAACTTATACACAATGCTTATTTCACAAAATAAAGATCAAGTTTGGTTTTTGGTGGTGTCACTTTTACTGTTCTAGAGTTATGCCCCTTTACAAAAGGAAAAAATGCTGAATTTTTCGTTTCCGTTCTCTAACTTAAGTTTGCCTCAACCAAATGTTATGAAACTTATACACAATACTTATTACTACAAAACTCAGATCAATAACAAATTAGGGTAGTGTCACTTTTACTGTTCTTCAGTTATGTCCCTTTATAACTTAATATGATATACAAGCGGGGGCATCATCTGTGTCCCATGGACACATTCCCCATTTATTTACCTTTTTTATAACCTTTTTTCAATTTAATGATTTTGTTATGGATGGACAGAGGAATCTGCAAAGGAAGGTGTAGTATATTTTTATTGGAGTTAGACCTAATAACTTTTAGAAAGAAGCATTCAAAATGCACTTTTTGAACAAGTAAAAAATGGAAAGTAACTAAATTTTATTTCAATTGGTGTTCATTCTTCATAAAAAAAAAAACATTTCTGGTATTAAAATATGCATGTACATCTACCTTATACTTTTAAATAGCAGTATAATGGGACAAATAAATATTATTATAAAAAATGCTCAGGTTAGAGTTTTTATACGCCCGTTTATGGGACGTATTATGGTATACCGTTGACCGTCTGTCTGTCCGTCCGTCGTCAACATGTCGGACATTAATTCAAAAACGCTTTAACCAATATGCATGAAACTTTGGTGAATTGTTTATATCTATTGACGTGAGCTCCCTTTCATTTTATATAAATTTCAGATTTACCATTTCCGAGTTTTGGGGTTTTATTCATTAAAAAAGGGGGGATTTTACAGTTTTCGGACAATAACTCAAAAACAATTTCACCAATTTGCATGAAACTTTTGTGAATTGTTCATATCTATTGACGTGAGCTCCCTTTCTTTTTTTATAAATTTCGGATTTACCATTTACGAGTTCTGGGGTTTTATTCATTAAAAAAGGGGGGATTTTACAGTTTTCATACAATAACTCAAAAAACATTTCACCAATTTGCATGAAACTTTTGTGAATTGTTCATATCTATTGACATTAGCTCCCTTTCGTTTTTTATAAATTTTGGATTTTACATTTCCGAGTTTTGGGGTTTTATTCATTAAAAAAGGGGGGATTTTCCAGTTTTCAGACAATAACTCAAAAACAATTTCACCAATTTGCAAGAAACTTTGGTGAATTGTTTATTTCTATCGACATGAGCTCCCTTTAGATTTTTATAAATTTCAGACTATATGTTTCCGATTTATGGGGTTTTATTCATTACAAAAAGGGGGATTTTCCAGTTTTCGGACAATTAACTCAAAAATGCTTTCAGCATTTTTTTATGAAACTTTGGTAAATTGTTTATATCTATTTTTGTAAGCTCCCTTTTGATTTTTATAAATTTTCGATTTTATGTTTCCGAGTTATAAGATTTTATTTGTTTATAGCCTGACAACAGATTTACTAAGTATTGCGCAACAGCACAGTGTATTGCACAACAGCAAGAAATCTTTCATATAACCAATTTCAAGTTCTTTGACTACATTTATTCAGAAACCTGTAATATGTCAAATATTTATTGGTTTATTGTTTCAAGCTAATCACTGATATTAAAAATAGTAACACAAGTAAATTACAATTAAAATTTTTTGCCATTTCTTTGAAGAAAAAAAACCATTTTATTAATCCTTAATCATTCATCTTTGACACATAATTTACAGGATAATTTCATGTAGTGTGGATCAGAAGTATTTATAGGTAAATCTGTCATTTCTAAAAACATAAAATGTATCAACAGTCTCACTACTTGTACTATTGAGGTCAATTATTTAATATAAGAGACATTGTATTTTTTAAAATAATTTAACAGATAATTTATTACACTACCTAAGACACAATCTTGACCTCAAGACTCATTACGGAGGAAATGGAACAACAGTATTTAAAAAAGTGGGAATTCACTTTGATATCAATGTGCTGCTTGTTTCAAATTTTAAACAGTCTCGCTACTTGTACTATTGAGGTCAATTATTTAATATAAGAGAC